CAGCGACAACATAAAAAGAGGTAACATTTTGTCACCGCGAATGTGTCTAAGCTTAACAAAAATGTATTGACCGACAGAGGTATGTCAAGTGGGTAACACATACAAGTGTCCTAAAGCCCCCTTTACACTGGACACCGTCCTTTCTGCCTCCCGCAGTACAGCCCCGTTTGAAAGTAAAAAATGATAATAATTTACGTGCCGACAACTGACCGAACATTCAGCATTCATTCTGCAACCAAAGCGATGCTTGTGCCTCCTTTCAACGACCACAGCGATGCCAGTTTTATGGTCCCACAAAGGACGCAGAAACGACGCCGACCAGTGTAAAGGGGGTTTAACTGGCACATTGTCACCGAGCCTTGAACGATAACAGACTAGTTGGTTATAGACCTCGTATGACAACCCTGACAGGGAAAATTTGTTCCAACGTCTTTTGGCGTTCCAATGTCTTTTAATGTAAGGGTAATTTTTTTTCTTTTCAATTCTAACCTGGTGCAACCCAAAATCCCCAAGACACAACTGTCGAAATCCCTATCGAATTTCTTCATCAAATGCATGAGGTTTATTTTATAATCAAGATTTATAACAATAATAATTCAATGATTTATTTGAATAAGATCACAAATAAGATGACATAGATATTTATATTTCAAATGTAATATAAATACGTGAACACAAAATGACCACATAAAAAAAATCAAAATCACGTTTTTGGAGAAAGCAAGGTACTTTCCGCCCAATGCGGCGTTTTTTGTCAGGTTTACTCATTTTCTACTGCAAAATAGAATTNAACACACAACAAAAAAAAAAAAAAAAAAAAAGACAAATATGACCCAACACGCAAGATATCAAATGTATTCTCTACAGGTATGAATCCAATACGTGTACTGGTATACTCGACTACAGGTTACCAAGGGTTACCAGAATAATGACACTCAACGATATATTATATGGCTTATTCATTGTCTATGTCGCATTTTGGTAATTAAGGGAAAATTGATGAAAATGTCCACGATTTTTATATACAACTGTCATTGTATGTCTTTAAAGATGCTTAACCGAGAATGACGGATATCAAAACAACAAGAATCATAACCACAGGCTAATTTGGGAACATAATTTTCACAGCAAACCATATATGACAAAACAAGCAAGCTAAAATGCAGTCTGTCCATATATATATAACACACATATAGACTCTTGACGTGTTACGTTGACGACCGGTCGCCAAGGGTTTCCTTAGAAATGCCACTTTGTGATAAAAACATATATGTGTATATCTATATATGCATAGTTCATTGTCAATACCAAGGTAGAATATTGATCTTATCGTGATTAGGATTGAACGCAGAAGAACACCAGACGGTTATTAGATGCGAATCTGTCTTTTCTACATTCTGGGATACGTTGAAATATACTAAATACTGACACTAAGAAATAACCAGACACAATGTGGTGAGGTTTAGGCTACATGTGTGGCATCCCGGGGAAAAGACGATCGAAAACAATATTCTTACTGACATTAGCAGGCAACATAGCCTACATACGCATATTTTTATATTCAATTGGAGGTGGCACGTTACCCACAGGTTTGATGCATGACCGATTGATCGATTGAAGGAAGAAAAAAACAGTCGTCGTTGTTCAGATTGTTGCGGCAAGGTTCCTCGCCATTATAAGCTACAATCACTGTCGTAATATTAATGCAGTTGCACGGCGAGTCATCAGAAAAACCGTCTATTAAGAACAGGGAGCGTCTTCAAAACGCTTTCTTGGTAAGCGGTGTGTTAGGCTATGTGCTAACATTGTGTGGACTAGTGATGACATGCTGGGGCGTCTCGTATATCCCAGTTAATCTCGCATGGATAGTGGCCCCCGCCTGCCTGTGCGTGGGGCTGGTCTTAGCGACCGTCGCATGGTGCTTGTTTCAGAAGATGGGCTACACCTGTCATAGCAAGGAAGCTGATGTCGATTCAGAATTTATGGATACAGCTCAGCCGACCGATGACGGAGAAACCGTGGAAGAGATAGTGAAAGACATAGCCAGTGACACTGGAACCTGCTCATCTGAGAAATCATGTTAAATCCATACTAAAAATCTATAGTCTGCCGACAGAAAAGCGTCTATAGAGGCCTCTTTTTATTAAGGACAAACAACAGACATGAACATTGACCATTTCAAGTGCCTGTTTGCGATAAATATATTTTTCTTGAAATTACGTAAAATGTATGAACGTGCGCTGAATACAGCGAGGACGGTTGCTCTCATACATACGATATGTGCTGCTCTGTCCATAAATCTTAACGTGTTAATGTAAATTTGCACCTAGCTAATTGCAGATCCGACTAAGCATAATGTAACATGGCGTGCTGCAATCAGAACTCTTCTCACAGAAAGGTAGGCACTTGAAATTAAAAGTCAAGTCTATCAACGAAACGGGATATATATTTTGGCGCAGGTCATAGTCACATCACTGCTAATCACGTGTAATCGTTACCGTGAAAGGATGAAAGAAAACAACCATAAAACTAAAGAAACTGTTGTATACATCTTAAAGACATAAAGCGTGCAATATTTAACTAATTATTCATGCATAATTTTATAAGATTTGAAATATCTGTGAGTGTGCCGGCATACACACGTGTGAACGCTATCTAAGAGAGATACATGCCAACACGTCGACATTGTGCAAATGAGTTGGTCACGGTCTAGATGCGTGTAAACAGCGTACCCCTGCGTGTTAAATCAGTGCAAAAGAAGATATATATGTTATTATAATGTGAATGGTAACTGGTGAGCGCATTGCGTTTGCAAGTTATGGGTTCGGACGTATGGGCTAATGGCTAATACCTGGAGAGCTCTTTAGCACTCACGCCTCTTGTTCTTTTGGTAGCATCTGATATTAAAAGGATGAAAGAGATAAGACGTGCAAATCGAATCTTTTACACGACACCTACTGGTGGGAAGTTGAGATGAGTGTAGGTTGGGGATGGGGAAGGATATCCGGTATCGGTTGGCTAAAACCAATGTTTGAGACTATCGAGTCGACTTTGAGCAGTTTTTGCTAGATAAAACATTTCATAACTTGCTCTCCAAGAATGATGAAATTTACTTATGTGACTCAGTATAAAGGATAAAAAATATACAGGTCCAATGTATTTTCAATACAAGGATTAATAAAAATTTTGATGTTCGATGCGTTTTTGTTATTTTTGATCCATTTGATATAGTACATCAAGCCAGTCCTGCTTATTTGGCTAAAAAAAAAAAAAAAAAAAAAAAAAAAAAAAAAAAAAAAAAAAAAAAAAAACCTCAATCTATATTAAGAAGGAGCGGGTCTGATGATCAGAAACACTGTGTTTACAAATACCGACATTATTTGGCTGTTGGTTAGACGACATCTTACACGAGGTATTTAGCGTAGTTGCACTGATACAGGCGGTGTTTATATCTGTACACAGCATAATCTTATTTGGTATCTTCTAACGCAGCGACAACATAAAAAGAGGTAACATTTCGTCACCGCGAATGTGTCTAAGCTTAACAAAAATGTATTGACCGACAGAGGTATGTCAAGTGGGTAACACATACAAGTGTCCTAAAGCCCCCTTTACATTGGACACCGTCCTTTCTGCCTCCCGCAGTACAGCCCCGTTTGAAAGTAAAAAATGATAATAATTTACGTGCCGACAACTGACCGAACATTCAGCATTCATTCTGCAACCAAAGCAATGCTTGTGCCTCCTTTCAACGACCACAGCGATGCCAGTTTTATGGTCCCACAAAGGACGCAGAAACGACGCCGACCAGTGTAAAGGGGGTTTAACTGGCACACTGTCACCGAGTCTTAAACGATAACAGACTAGTTGGTTATAGACCTCGTACGACAACCCTGACAGGGAAAATTTGTTCCAACGTCTTTTGGCGTTCCAACGTCTTTTAATGTAAGGGTAATTTTTTTTCTTTTCAATTCTAACCTGGTGCAACCCAAAATCCCCAAGACACAACTGTCGAAATCCCTATCGAATTTCTTCATCAAATGCATGAGGTTTATTTTATAATCAAGATTTATAACCATAATAATTCAATGATTTATTTGAATAAGATCACAAATAAGATGACATAGATATTTATATTTCAAATGTAATATAAATACGTGAACACAAAATGACCACATAAAAAAAATCAAAATCACGTTTTTGGAGAAAGCAAGGTACTTTCCGCCCAATGCGGCGTTTTTTGTCAGGTTTACTCATTTTCTACTGCAAAATAGAATCGGAGAAGGCATATTCCTGTTTGACTGAAAGCTTTCTTTCTTTAAATTATATCTATAGCCAAGGTCAAGGGGACAGTCTTTCTGTGTATTCAAGGGTGATCAAAGTGTGGAGATTTTTCCACGGGAGAGCGTGACTTGATGAGACTGGTTTACAGAGAGGGGGAACGTGGGAGGGGACGCGCAAAAATTTTATGTCACCTGTCACAGTAATGACTTCTCTACAGCATTTCGGTTGTAGTATACTTATTGATATAATCTGAAGATGCTCCTGTTTCGCTATGGATCAAATATTGAATATCGAATATAAAATCACCGCAGAAAAGCATTATTTAAGCACTGTAGAGATCTGTTGACTTATGCCTTTGTTTTTGATGATGTGACATTTGTGATCAAAAGAATTTGTACACCCTGCGTGTCAGTTTTGCCTCCTCTGCTTATCAGAGCACCATATCTGGGACTTATTTACCGTCTGCGGCACGAAGCCGTACGTTTGGCAAAAACCGGTTAAAACCGGACAGCTTGATTCCTAAATTTGGATCACGCCGTGCAAATCTGGACCGAAGAACTTCTAAAATGTCCTCGCTATTAATTAAAACGCTTCTATTTTTTGGATAATAACTTTCTAAATTATCCAAGACATTAAAAAGTCATATGACAAAGTGTAACAATCAAACAGTTATAAGCTGATTGAAAGTAAAGTGCATTAAATCTATTTTCATGAGTTTGGTCTACAACAACAATTTGGCGTATTAATACAACAAACTTAGAACTTGATTAGTATAAAAGCAAGGTTCAAGGAAAAAGACAATTATTGTGTATCCAGGTAAACAGGTGAGATGACAACGTTCTTATGATGTCCACATGGTAGACTGTGACATGATCGAAACCCTGCTGATACCTAACAGACAAAAAGCAAAATCGATTTTTTTACCAACTGCATTTGCTTCAAACTCCAGACTTTCAGATTTAAATAATATGGGGAAAAGGAGTTTTTAAACTTAATTTTAGTTTTCTTTTCAGCAAACAGAATACATCATGCCTACGAAGAAAGCTGTGCACGAGAAAGACAACCATAAGTGGCAGAGAGTAATTCACAGAGAAAACTCTTTGAAAGATACCGCTGATGCTTACAACGATTGGGCACATGAATACGACGATGTAAGTATCTCCAAATTATGAAAAACCGCTGCAGACAATGCTGATGAACTTGCAGCAGCCGTGTACGCCGACATAAAGTGCGTGTAGTTTTTGATTGCTTCTATTCTCCATATGAGAAAAGTAATCAGAATTCAAAATAACGACATACGTAAAACTTTTCAAAAGTCTTTCCAAAAATTGGACTAAAACATGAAAAAATACACGGATAAAAAATGCCACAAAAACGCTCGTTAGAAATTATTTAGAGATTTTTTCGTAGGATTTAAACCGTGACTCTTATCCGGGACCAACTTTTACGGCAGAAACGGTAGCCAGTTGTTTCCCGGAGGAATTGAGAGGCCAAGTGCGCCTCTTAGATGTCGCTGCTGGCACGGGCTACCTTGGAGAAGAGGTGAGGTAGAGTCACATGGGGGTTGGGAATGAAGCACTGACGTTAACACTTATTTATTGAAGAAATAATGCTAGGAAAACAAGGAATTTTTTAGTTAATATTCTCTTCAATGAAATTCATCTGTAGTTTAAACAAGCCATGCATTTACTATCATCAATGTCATTAGTATCGTAATTTATTATTTTTATCAATTTTATTATTTTGTGAAAGTGAATTTAACTTCATGGGTTGTCTTTTAGAATAATATTAATTTTAGATATGTCGTACAGTTGTACAGTTATATGCATTTATTTTCAACTAGGCCACCCCGACCCCGCTGCCGGTCATGTGGGTGTCAAGCCAGACTTCTTCTTCTTCAAAAAGGTGGTGTTTGCGAGGTCCTGGGCATTCCTTCGGGAACCCAGACGACCAATCCCTTGTACAATATTTAAAAAGAAAAAAAACGCCCCTCTTTCTGAATTTGTGATTTGTTCTTGTCCCGCTATGTAAAACACCACTTTGACTAATAATGTTTTATATTTTTCACCGAAGTAGGTCGTTCAAGAGGACAAACTCGTCACGAGTTTGGTTCTGTGAACTAATGCTTTCATCTTACTAACAATTATTAAGTAATTCAATAAGAATGTCTAAGTTTTAACTTTGTGGTCCTTAGAATAATTAAGATGTTTTTTAAAAACATTGTTTGTCTTGTCTTTTGTTGGCATGAAAGGAAAATATATTTTCAAGAAAATGCAATATTTGACATCAGTATTTATCTGCAGGTTCTTGTGCAGATTTGCATCTAAAACAGGCCGTGTAGCTATGCATAATAGCTTGGGATTCCTCACTTGTTTTGAATCGACTTCTGTTCATTTAGTGGAAAACCATCCCTTAAGACCAAAGACTGATTATGGATCAAATAGGCCAATTTTATCAGATTTCACTTGCTTACTTATCAGTTTTTTTATCGGTAAATATTTTGTTCTGTTTGGTTTGAAAAGTTGCGAAAATCTTAACTGGGCATACCAAAAGACGCTAAAAAACTACATTCATAAATCAAAAAACATGTTGAAATTTGAATGACTACTGTTATGAGCGCACGTCCTGTTTTAGTTGCCCAAACCTGTATATTAACATCTGCAAGTTGACGAGACACGAAATGTGACACTTGCTTTCTTCAAATTTTAGCTAAAAAAGCTGGGATTTACTCTAATGGATGCATTAGAGCCTGCCGTTGCCATGTGCGAAAAGGCAAAGCAGAAGGGCTTGTATGAAAATTACATTAACACCTTCATCACAGACGAACCGATCGAAGGTGTAGCTGACAGTGAGTGCCATATGATTCCTACAATTTTTGGTTTTTTCATCACTTAAATTAATATTAACAAGTGGTTTTTCACCTTGATGGTTAAGTGCAGCGGCGCATGTTCAAATTTTTCAGTGAAACTATTGAGTGCTACAAAGTTTTTCTTTATAATTATATTTAAAAATCTTACCAGATGACATTTAATCTAATAATGAAAATTATTCATTAATGTCTCAAAAACTGAGCAAAATGACCGTTCAATGGATTACACATCCGTACTCTACCATTACTGAATATCTATCTGCATTTTCTTTTCAGACTCCTATGATGTTCTCGTTGTTAGCGGCGGTCACATGCAAGGACACATTCCGGCCAAAGCTTGCCTTGAAATGGTCAGACTGGTTAAACCTGGTAAGTTTCTCAGCAAACCTTTGAACAATTTCTTTGACCTCTTTCAATAACCAAGAGAGTTTATATTTTTCATCTTTGTGTTATTGTTTTGGATAACATAAAAGGGTTTATTTTTTTAGTGTTTCCCGTTAGCTGTGACTTTTAATGCTGAAGTCCATCTTTCAAAACATTAATATTTAAAAGAAATTTGAATATAGAAATTATGCATTATTGCAAATAGTTATCATCGTTTTATCGTTATTAAAAACTGTGGTTCTAAGGGATTTTGAAATTCCAGCTTTCAGCAGAGTAAACGTGAGGCTTTTATCGTTACTTCAAATCCATATATTTCAGGCGGCTTCGTTTGCATAGGTATGCGTGAAGAGTACTTAACTACGGTGGAAGACTACAAGACTCTGGAGCCGCTGATGGACCAGCTTGAAGCAGAAGGCAAATGGAAGAAACAACAGAGAAAAATTGTGTCATGGTACCATGGAAAACCAGGCGTCATCTTCGTCTTTAAAGTTCTCAAAGTCACATAGAAACATTTTCATTTGTTTTGGATTTCCTCATTATAACAAGCATTACAAACTCGAGAGTTATATGTGGAAGTACCCTAGATGTGTTAAAACATACTGTACGTAGCTTGTCGTATGTCGACAGACTTGAAGTGTATTCATTTTAGTTAGATTTTGTTACGTTTTATTGGATTTAAACTTAATTTTGAGACTTGCAAATTAGACCGAAAAGACTCAACTGTTCAGAACGCACACGTTTGAATTTCAGGTTTTAAGGAGTCCGTTTGGAGATTTTACAGCAAAAAAACACTGACTGAAATAAAATCATTGCAGTTTCTAAGTTTTTAATGCATGCCTTTTATTCACGATTGATTATCCAAAAATGCTATCCACACATGAAGTCGGTATTACCATTGAGGAATTTAATAAATTCAGTCATTTGATTAATAAGATGTATAGCAGTCCAATAGACAGCTATTCGACCACAACTAGGCCTACTCCGGATTTTTGGCCATTCCTTTTCCCTTGAAACATTAAATGATTATTTTAATCGCATTGGCAGACTACGAGGAAAGTAAGTGAACTGTAAGCGCACAGAATTCGTTTACTGAAGAAAACTAAAATTATCCAGCAATATTCGGTTTCTTCCTTTTACGAGTTGGGAGGAAAGCACATCACTTTTGAATGTTTTCTCACTACTTAAAATTATTTCCAGACCGAATTGAATTCACTAACCATGCGTTAACATTAAAAGAAAACACTGAGTTTTCATCAGAAGTTCATTCACTAAAGAAAAACGCATATTATAACGATAACATAACAAGAAAAAATGACAATTTTATATCAGCTTCTACCATCCATCAACTGCATAATCACATTCCCTTGATACAGCCCAAGTTGATATGGAAACTGCTATGTAACTTTATATTTATGGTTTATTCTGTACATGTGCACAGTAAAAACTGACACTAAATAATAACACATTTTGTATTAAAAAAATGTAATTGCACTTGATTACTATCTCATAAAAGTTTTTTTTTGGAACGGAAAATGAACCGTCCTCTGCGCATTCAAAAATACAAAACCTGCTACCATGCAATTCTGAAGAGCAAGTTTTGTATGCATATGTGGTTGATTTGTTTGGACCATATCCATACAATCTGTAAATTAAATCTATTTGCTAAGCAGCACTCTTTCCAATTACAGCAGTTGATACAACTTTACCAAGATATGCAGATAAACTTCCTTGAACTGTAAATACTTAAAGAACACATCGTTAATACTGACAGTAAAGATGCAACTGATATCACAACAAAAATTCTATATTGCAGTTCATATAAAGCAACTTATTCAAAAGCAAAAAATAATTTACTAAAGAAAACCGATCAAGATTCACTACGTGAAACAGTCTCATTGAAAATGAAGTAGTCCGAACAAACATTTGCTAGCTATGCTAGTTAAGTTCCAATATTCAGCACCCATGCTAGTAAGCCTGGCATGACACTAAAAATCTGCATTTAAAGCCAAGCAAGGATGCCGTCACCTTCAGCTCAACATTTCCACATTAATTTGTTAATTCACCAGTTAGCACATAGTCTCTGCCCTGGCATCAGAATAAATGAGCCAACATGACTGCAAGACATGCTTCTTTGACTGACACTGTACTTAGGATGCTGGTCGCACTTGCATCATGTATGGTGATGGTGTTGAAGCATTGGAAGACAAGGAGCAAACAGACTTGTTGTGTGGACTGTTCAGCACTACACTAGTCTTATCTGAAGCAGATCCATCCAGCCGCGGATTATTCATGGCCAACTCATCAACCTGGTGGGCTCTGAAAAGATATAGTCAAAATGACCAGTTTTTTTAAACAGGTGATATAAGATGTCAAGCAGAACTATCAAACAAATACCTTTGGTATCAAATCAAACTCTGCTGGCAATACAGCATAAAATGTTTTTTGACATATTCAAATGCATATCTTGGACATAATTTTGGATTTAAAAAAAAATGTGCATTGATCTTGGGACCAAAAACTTGGGCCTCATTGGAATTGGAACTAAAAATCTTGGAATTCTTAGAATACACGCACACACACACAACAACAACAACAAAAAAAAATGTATACTTAAATTTGCTACTAAGGCCATCGTGTACTTACTTCAGCATAAGCTCCACACAAGGCATTATTTTCTCTAAGCAATATCCTGTCACTTTCTGTAAATGCACTGTCCATGTAGGTGACAAGTGAAGACAAATTCTTGACGCTGCTATGCAAGCAGATGCCACATTCGAAGGGAGGGAATAACGGAACTTGTAATCTGGAAAAATAACTCTAAATAATTAGCATTACTAAAAACTGCCACTTATTTCTTGACCTTGTGAAAACATCTTTTGTCCCATGTAAGGTTAAATTATTATGTCCGATTGAATTTTTATTTAGCAATACAAAACAATTACCTTGTAATGAAATCTCAAGAAAATAATTTGCATATTTGAGGACGTATTCCTGAGCTTTGGCCAAACACAATATCAATCTGTCACCATGGTAATCAGTCTCTTCAACACTAAATTTCATGTAGTAATCAATCAAATGTGCTGCTGTTGTCATGGAAACATTCCAATGGAAGAACTGTAGTAATGTCAGCTCCATCTGTAGGTACATGTGCAGTGGATAGCCTCCCTGGCAGTTACTGACAAACTTGTTTAACTGAACAGCACGGGGGATTTTGCTTTCTTGTTCCTCATACTTAGCTACAATGAAATCAAAACTGATTAATATGGTCTATAAATCCTTTTTGTGTTTGTAATTTATTATCAAATTTGAAACAAAATATTTTTTCTAAAAATAATGTTATCAGACTTTATTCAATTCTGTCCCTTAATTACAGAAATAAGATAATATTGCAGAAAATTGTTGTTTTATTGTGGGGAAAAACAAAGAACAAAATTTAAGGTGAACAGTGAAATAACAAAAAAAGATCCTTGTCTATAGTACCCTAGCAGATCCTTTTTGTGTAGTTCTAAATTATATATTGTAAGAAAGTGTTTCTTACATGCAACAAGCAGACATCCAATGGCCACGAGATGGAGCTGTGTCTCATCAATATCATAATTGTCCATGAAATAGTCCATAAAGTATACCGCTAGGTGGCGTGCTGTCAAGCAGATCTCCACCTGATCACACACAACAGCTAGCCAGTCCACAAGAAAACGCCGGAGATGCAGCTGTGGAGACTGCGCCTTGAAGAGTGGAATGTTCTTTTCTTGTGCCAGGAAAAAAGTATGGATGTCATCTGCCAGAGGGTTCAGCCACCACTCTTTCTGTTTCTCCATGGCTGACGCAGGTGGCTGCAGAGGGAAAAACAGGGACTAGCATTACAAATTGTAGAAATATAAACTAGGAATTAACATTTAGGTGTTGTTGCAATATTAAATCCCTAAATCATCAAGAGAATTATTATCTTAAATTATTTGTTAATCTTGCCAGCACACAAATTAATATGCCCAACAAGCAGAAATATGTCCATTCAATTAATAATATGCAACAGCATTGTCAAAAAAAAAAATAAATAAATAAAAAAAATAATAAAAAATAAAAAAAAAATAAAAAAAATAAATAAATAAATAATAAAAAAATGCAGGAAAAAAATGCATCAGATTCATTGTCATAGAGTTCTAGTGAAAGGCACAGAAAGGGGGGGGGGAGTACTACTGCTGGAAAATTTGGCAACCTAGAAGTGTTATAAAAACGAACACAATCCCTTACACTACAAACAGGACTAAAATTGTTTCATATTCTTACGGAGGAAATAAAGTAATTTAATTTGTCCAACTGCCGGGCTTAGAGCCTAAGTGTCCATAAGTAACTGACACTGTGACTGACTGTGTGTGACACTAATAATGATATTGACAATCTGTTTTCACTGCTTTTTGACTATCTCGAAAACTTTTGTTTACCACAATAACTTATAAGATTAAGAAACTTTTGTAACAATGTCGTTTCAAGTATCTCTAACAATTAAAAGGTAACACAACAAGAAAAACTTAACATCAAGTCGTGCAGAGCTTACCGTATTTTATGTCAGATAGCCGTTCCAACATTTCTGGACTCCATGCGCAACACAAACTGCCCACCTTACCCGCACCCTGACGTCAGGAGAACAGGTGCTCTCAGCGACCTCTTTTGGAAGTGTACATGACCCAGATAAAATAGCCTATTTCTATAATGGATCAAAATGAAATCAGACATTCTCTAGGTAATAAAATGACAATCACATATAAAAACCGAACAACGAAAGATCTAGATTTTTTTATATGAAAAAATGGCAGAAACTGATGCTTTTACCATATATGGCAAATCTCCCTTTGACATGCGCGTGAGTCACTGTATATATTGACTTCCGCCTTCTACAATCTGCCGGCAAAGTGAAGCCGTACTTTTTGGAGACAACATGCCCGCCACTCTGAGTACGTATGCAGTTTTGTCAGTTATATGTTGCACGAGATAAGTAAACAGATATTAATTTCTTATTATATGCTTTGTATAGCAGTATTTTTATTTAATCAAAACACCCGTAAGATTAGGTGTTGTCAGATAACCATTATTAGAATCCCCGCCCACCCATTTGCATTCAATCATTTCTTACAAGTTACAAGATACATTTCACAGTGACAAGAGACCAGAGAATAATGGATAAGATTCTTTATTATTGTTCTAACGCAGCGAAAACAATGGGAACAAACACAGTGTGGGAAATGTTTGAATGTGCCTGCAACTAATGCTGCATATACCGTGACAACCTGTACAATGTAGTAATAATGGTAGTAATAGTATAGCCAGTGTGAAGTGCTTGTCCAAGTTCAAACCGGTTCAAACCCTGTTTCATTCATAAGACTAAGACCCGTTGTTGACTCCAGAGCATTGAGGATCTAGATGGTTGAACATGTTTTTCAATGTCAAGGAAGGTTATGAGACCCAGTAAATTAAAAGTATCCAAATTAGTTGTTAACCATAACCATCTCCTCTATAACTGGCATGAAAATTCATGCGTTAGCACTCCTATTGACGATTCTGATATGTACTGTCTGTGTAGCATAGTATATATAAGAATTGTCAATAGGAGTGCTCACGCATGAATTTTCGTGCTACTCTATAACAGACAAAGCTGTAGGGAGCATTCCCATAGAACATCTGACAACATGGGTTGCAGGGGCTCTTGCTTAGTGCAATCAGCTTTACTAAATGACAGGACCCTTCGAGCAGCTAGGAGCTAGGTAATTAACAACAATAAACATGAAAGTTACTTACCTCCTAGCTCCTCGAGAAGGCACCACATTTTAAATAACTACTAGTGAGCTGATTCTGCTGAATGCACTTAGCGAGAATCCTGTAGTCTGATGGTGTGTATGGGAATGGGGTCATAGTTTTAATTAATATGAGAGAGAGAGAGAGAGAGCTATATAAAAACCATCTTGATACATTTGTTGGTATCTATGAAGTGTAACTTAGCACCAGTCCCAAGCTTGTTGCTAGTTGGGTCATTGTTGCTTGGCATAAGAGATTTCATTGATGATATCTGATGGTAGTTGAAGCGACACATTGTCAGGTCTACTATTAGTATGATGCAGTGAATATAATGCATACATAGTCATTCAAATGATTGTAACATAATTTCCAAATTATTGTTTTTATTTTTATTTTTTGATCAGTTGGATAACTATCATCACAATCAATGATGAGTTCAATATAAATAAAATGTGACTAAGAGGAAATGCCAGAAAGCTACTGAACCCAGTTTTGTAGGGATAAACACTATGGCTTTGATGAGTATTTGTTATGAATTTGATATCATTCTCTAACCCCATTCACTTGCTTCATATAGGTAGTAGCTATAATTAGAGCTGATTCTCTACAGTGCTATGGCAGAGCTTGACACTAACTTTTTTCGATACTGGCCCACGATATGGGTAAATATTGCAAGGATGATTTGACACATGACATTTTACTTGCTCTTCGGGCCAGTGACCCCATCAATTCAATGGCCCTAGGTTGGTTTTCAGTGGCCCAGGGCCAGTGGGCCACCCTTAATGTCAAGCCCTGTATGGTGTTTATTATTTATCACAAGTTATACTCACATTGTAAATTGGGTATTGTACCTTCGCTAATATTAAATTCCTTTTAAGGTAAAGTAAACAAGAGAAGCAGAACCATAATACCTTATATGGCATACAGAACAAATCAATTGAGCAAGTGGTCTAGTACCTATTTGTAAATAATGGAAGTCCTTATCATACCACTCTACTTGAATGAGACCATGTCATTTTAACTATCAAATATACTAACTAGTACAGCATTTTATTTCTAAGAAGCAATATCTACAGACCAATTGAAATTTCATATAAATCCAATATTTTACCTTTAGCATAAACATTTCTTTATACACACACATACACACACACACACACACACACACACACACACATATAAAGTGTTTACGTTTTTAAAATATCTTTCCATAGGTTGCTTTATATGGTAGTGGGATGTTGTTTTATTTTCCAATATGCATCCTGCTGACCTTAGTGATTTTACTCAACTCCCATTTTGTGATTCATGCCTTTGATAACACAATACAATATTAATTTCAGGAAAAACCTATGCCTGCCTTCCCCCTACTGTACAGGGAATGCCTATAGTGATAGGTGGGGATCCCAAGGGAAAAAATTTCCTGTACACCAGTGGAAACAATGTCATCATCAGAAATTTAGAGGTAGGTGTTTATTTTGAACAATATTTTATAAATAATACGAAGTTAATGTTTAAAATGTGATACCTTGTCCACTTAAAGATACATTTTATCTCTACCTGATTATTTGATGAATGAAAGCATCCTTGTACATGTATATGCTTGATTTTGAAAATTTATGCCCTCAATTCTCTGGCCTTCAGCCACTACAAGATAACATAAAAAAAATCAGGGCTTATTGCCCGATTGCCAGTAGTTACTCTCATGGGAATATCTAAGCCCTAGTTAATTATGTTCAGTATGACAATCGATAGAAACAGCATCTGCACTGTATAAATAATGGATATAAGTGTTAAAGAATCTTTTGTTATGTCAATTATAAACTGCTGCTGTCATACAAAATAGATTGTAAAAAAATTTTTACCAATTACTCTTTTGATGATCTTTCCAACAGATGTTGCCAAGAGGTTGGACACCTGTAGTAAAATATACGGGACATGTAGTTGTTGTATTTGTCTAAATGGAGCTCTGAATCTCCTTCAGCATTTCTTACTTCTCGCTTATTGACAAATAAAATTATATTAAAACTTGAACACCTTTGCAAATTTGCTGTAGGAATGACTTAGGCCATTCAGCCAGAAAGAAAAGGGAATTTATGCTACCATGACTCATATGAATTCAAAGTTAACAGAGCATAGAGAAAAATAAGTCAACAGACTTTTCTAAAGCAGTGTTTTTTTTATAAAAACTGATGACTGTTATGGCTTGCATAAACAATTAAATTACCTATTTCAGGATCCATCAGATAGTGATATATATTCACAACATTCTTACCCTACCAATGTGGCCCAGTATTCTCCCAGTGGGTTCTACATTGCCTCGGGAGGTAAGTAGTGTCCCTTTCTGAAGCACAACAAGAAACTTAGTTGTGCTCCCAGTGAAAATTGCCTTTGACACAACAGGCCTTCTTATATTACTGGTACTATTAACTCACCTAAGGACACCAATTTAATGACTTGTGATAGTAATTGGGACAACAGAAGGATTGGGTTTGCTACTTATTGTGACCTGATTGAAATCAGACAGCCTGCTGAAATGCAACTCAATGACATTGATTAGACTCAACTTGGATAGAAACTAAATTTCGCCCACTACAGTATGTAGTGTTATAGGAATGAGCACAGATGCAGTTACACATTCACTTTTAATATTTCAAACAACTGAGGCTGGTGATATTTACAATTCCTGTAAGTGTAGAGCTATTGTTTGTAATATAAAACCATACAATAATCACAAAATGAGAAAGAATAGTACATAATTTGATAAAGATGAATGAAATAAAAGAATAAGCCTAAATGTACATATGCCACTGTCTTGTAATTTTTTGAATAAAATGAAATATGTGAAAATGGTCACATATCTTTCATGTTTTTTTAAAAGCAGGGATTTGAAAAAAATTGTTTATACATTACAGACAATTCTGGTAAGGTGCGTATTTGGGACACAGTTAATAAAGAACACATTCTCAAGTCGGAGTTCCAGCCCATATCAGGTGCCATCAAGGACATAGCATGGACCAGTGATAGCCAGAAGATTGCTGCAGTGGGAGCTGGCAGAGATAAGTAAGTGTAGACTATTATAATTATCATAGTGCTTATTTTTTTTGGCAAAATACAACTCCTGAAAATTAATACTATCTGTCAATTTTGTAGACCTCTGTAGAAAAAAAACGCACAGAGAACAGCCCAGTCTTTACCAGCATGAAGATTGTGGTGTTTTTTTTCTTTCTTTCTTTCTTTTTTTTTTTTTTTGACAAACTACTGAGGACTTGAATTCATGGAATACTTGAATTAAGACTTTGACAGAAATTATCAAGTTACTTTTCTTTTTTTAGATGAAGATTTTTGTTTTTCTTCCAGATTTGGCCATGTATTTACCTATGACTCTGGAAACACCGCTGGTGTCATTGAGTTCCACAGTAAAGTTATCAACTCAGTTGATATCAGTAAGACACGCCCTTTCCGATTGGCCACTGGGTGTGAAGACAAGACAATTGGGTTTTACCATGGAGTACCTTTTAAATTCAATAAGACTAATCAGGTAAAGTGGGAAATGTAGATTGAGTGTGTTCACAGTCACACTTTTTGTATGTAAAATTTAAGAATAATTTTTATCCATATTTTTTCACAGCACTAGTATGACATTAAATGAATGAGTTGCTCAATATTTTCATTTGTCAGGGGATGTTTCTTTTTGTTATATAAGGCCCTGTTCATAAAAGGGGATTAACTAGTCCGAGGGTCAAATATAGTAGACCCACTTGAATACTACCCCACAGGATATCTGTTCAGTGTCTATTAGCAGATTAGATGGCAAGCTTTGTAGTGGGTCGCCATATTTGACCCTCGGACTAGTTAATCCCCTTTTATGAACGGGGCCTAAGAGACGAGATCAGTACTCTCTCATGAATATATTTACAAGTAACTAGGCAAGCCTCAATAATAAAACTGGTGAATATATTCCCTCAGAGTTATAAATCCACTAATTCTGGCAGAAGCAGGCACTATTTGGGTATTTCACTTTGATTTTTTTTTTGAATAACAATGTTTAATTGTTTTGTTGTTTTCATTGCAGTCACACACATCATTTGTTCAAGCTGTACGATTTTCTCCTGATGGAACCAAGTGTGTATCTGCAGGTTCTGATAAAATGGTATGTTATAAATGGTTCTTTGAAAATTGGGAGTTTTTAATTTAAATGTGCAATTGTTGCAAAAGTGGTTTTTATGGTGTGAAGTATGCTAATTAATTCTTTCAGTAATACCTGTTTTTATGGTGTGAAGTTTGCTAATTAATTCTTTCAGTAATACCTGTAGTTTTCTATGTGATACCTTCATATTTCCATATAGTTGTAAGTGGGAAATTAAAGAGATTGTCACTGTTCTTTAACTTAGGTCCTAATTCTTGATGGAAAGACAGGAGAAGAACTAGGACAGCTTGGAAATCCAGCTCACAATGGTGGAGTTTACGCTGTAAGTTTAGTGAAATTAAACATCCGTTCTTTTACTTTATTTTGACACTTGCCCGATTGGGCAAGCATTCAGGTGAGTGGACTTGCCCGACATCGATGTCTACTTGTCCTGGGCAATCGGGCAATCCTAATTGTCGAGCCCTGGCACTGAACAATTCCCATTGTAGGACTTTTAAACCTAACCATTTGCAAGGTTTGATGAAAGGTAGTGATGCTACTTTAGCCAAGTCCCTCAGCAAGAGTCCCCAAAAAACTGGATCAATCTAAGTAGAATGTTTTTCATTGGGAATGCGCCCTTACATATAGCTGGTGTCAAATTTAAGAAACGTGTTCCATATAGCTTGAAATTTCAGTTAACACATTATACAGGTAATGTTTCTTCGGTTGTTTCAATTTCCCTTTCAATTGTTAGGTCAGTTGGAGTGGTGATAGCAAGAAGTTACTGACAGTGTCTGGGGACAAGACAGCCAAAATCTGGAACATGGAAACATTGACCATGGAGACGTAAGTTACAGTGTAGCAGTGTTTACCAGAGTTTACAATGATGGTACAAATGTCTAATGTATTTGCTTCTAAAATATTCCACAGAATTAATTGGGATTGACCATTTGGCAGACTTTTTGATCTTTTTCCCCCTTTTAATATATAAAAAAATGCCATTTCTGTCCTTGAAAATATTGTCAGAGAGAGAGAGAGAGTGAACAGGAGGTATTTTTGCTGATTTTTTCTTTTCACTGGAATAAGAAGAGATGGAAAATAATGACAATCATGATATGGATATTATAATATACTAGGCAATATATCAAAAAATATATGGTTATGAGGTTTCCTTTGAAAAGATCTGAATCTTAAGTTATCATTTCCAGAGAGTTTGTGTTTGGTAAGGACAAGGAGCACATGCAGGTGGGGTGCCTGTGGCAGGGAGACACCCTCATAACTGTGTCACTGACAGGGTTCATCAATTACCTAGACCCAGCTAATCCATCCACACCCAAGAGAATTGTCATGGTTTGTTAATCAAATTATCTGTTTTGATAGAATGTTGCAAAATTCAGCTGTTCTTGCTTGGTGGTTTTCAAAACTGGCAAAGTACTGTAATGTTATGAGGAAATGATCTTTTATGATTTGAACATATTGTCCTGCTGATTCTCTGATTAGATTACGATGCTGAATTATATTTTATTTACTTTAGTGAAAATGAAATATTGTGTTTGTGTCATCTTTATCTTGAAAGAGGCATAGCTTTACATACACACACACTTATGTCTTGATATTTTAGGGTCACAATAAGCCCATCACAGCAATGACTCTAAACCTTGAGAGAGACACCATCTACACAGCAAGCTCAGAAGGCAGGATTTATATCCTTTTAGACTGTGCTGTTGCATTATACATAAACTAAAGAGATTTTTGAGTGGAGATTTTGGAGGAACTGGCAGAGAAATTAAAATTTAAGCAAAAAAGTTGAATTATTTGTCAAAAAATTAATTGATTTTTTTTCCCCCTGGACCTTTAACTGTTAATTAAATTGATTCTCATATTTTATAAAGCATCACTAATACAGCAAATTAAATAGACCTCTGGAATGTACAGATTTCTTAACTGCTCTAACGCTACTGGGATGCTGCTACAGGTGAAAATGGTTTAATGAAAGGCAAAGGTCACTCCAGTCAGGTTCAGCATATGCTGATCGTGGGAGATTCTCTGATCACTTGTGGTGTAGATGATGTGATCAAGTTCTCTTCCACCACTGCTAATGAATATGGGTGAGTAGCAGCAAACCCTGCATTCAAATGTATTGAAGGAAACATTACCCTTATTGATACCTTCAGACTGAATCAGTATCCAGTACATGACACCGTCTGTATATATAGTGATTATATATATACAATGTAGTGATTTGTTTAAATGTAAAGGGGGCAAATAGATCAAATAAGTCTTCATTTATGTTACTATTTTTTTTTTCATATATCTCAGTCAGGACATAAAGGTGGACTCTCAGCCACAGATGATATCTGCAGTGGACAGAAATCTTACCATTGTAGCTTGTACAAATGAGGTTAGTAACGTATATGACTAACAGTAACAGAAGGTATATATATATATATTTGTCAAATACACACATAAATGCAGGCACCCATGCACATGCACATACACACTTTCTAACACTGATTTTGATTAATTGTTTTGATTATAATTGCTTTTATGAAAGTCCTGACATCAAATATTATTTCGTTAATTTTTTATATACCAATTTAGAGTTTTTTCTTGTAGTCAACATTTTCCATTTTCTTCTTTCAGATTGTGGTGTTGCGTGATGGCAGGATTGTTTACATTGAGAAGGTCAACTATGAACCCACATCAGTCAGTTTACATCCAGGGAAGTCTTTAGTAGCAGTAGGGGCCAAGGTATATAAAACATATCTTTATTTTTCAAAGGAAATAAAATTTGGAGATAGGGAGGGGGAGTGGGTGGGTTATGAAGTGCAAACTAACTCCTTTTGCCAATTGGAGGGTACAGCAGAATTGACTGAATAATGCCAAAAGAAAAATCTCATGCCTTAGTAGTGAAACATATTTAGTAAATTTAAGATCAGGTTTAAGTATATCACAAAGAAAATAAAGAAGAAAAAATTGATAATCTCAAGATTCTACCCTTTATTTTAAAGCTTCTCTCTGTATTTTATTTTGCTTTAAGGTTCAGAATTTAATCTGGCTCAATTGATTTGCAAGAAAACATTTTTGCATACATTATTTTATTTTTCAGGACCACAAAGTACATATATTTGAGTTAAGTGGTGATACACTTCGTGAAGAACGTACGCTTGAGCACAGGGAAATGGTGACGGATGTGAAATTCTCTCCTGATGGTGCCTGGCTGGCTGCTTGTGATGGCATAAGATTGGTCAGACTCTATGAGTTGCCAACATACGAGGTAACATATTGATTTTTAAGCTCTTGAATAAAAAACTTCATTGCTGATATTATGGTTTTATAACTTTTAGTCAAAATTTAAATTGAAGTAATCCATAACTTTAAAGGCAGTTTTTTTTTATGGTAACATATTTAATATTCTTCATACCATCTACAGGTGTCACATACAGTGAAAACATACATTATTATAGAAGAACTGATAATAGTTAAAAACACACATTGAGTAAACTATAACTGCTATCAAACAATATTATGGATAATTATTGCCTCTCCCTCTATTTCCAGGAGAAGTCAAAGGACAACTGGTGTTTCCACACAGCCAAGGTGACTTGCTTAGCCTGGTCCCCTGACTCCAGGCACATTGCCAGCGGGAGTCTCGACACGGGCATTGGAATATGGAGTGTGGAGAATGTGCGCAAGACCCTTTTGATCAAACGTAAGTTTTCACAGTATTATACAGTAATGACTCGATCTTTTCATTGGGGAAGATTGTGACATTCACAGAAACTGTATTTTTTTAAGTCATGAATTCAGAAAATTAGATCATTCCTGTTGGGTGGTAGCAACAAAATTGGAAAGCAGGCTACACTATAGTTCTGTTCTATACAGTAAAAAGCACCACAAATGCTATATAGAAATATAATATTTGTTTTCAAAATCCTGAATATGAAAGATTAAGAATTTTGCCCATTGAAAAGATAAAGTCATTACCATACAGATAAAGTCATTAACACTGCCAGTGAAGGAAGTTTTTGTTGATGTTGGTTTGGAATATATCTCAAAAAATGCTACACAAGAATTTAGAAAAATGGTTACAATTTCAACTGTATTCAGGTTGACGATTATTTTGAAAATAATTTTGAAATTTGATTACACTATTATTTCCATTTTGCCATGATGTAAAGTCTTTTATAGGTCACTTCTTGGTCATTTTATTCAATTAAAATTGTACCAGAAACTATTGAATATTAAAAGCATGGTCATCACTTCCTTTATGTGTAACTGGTGAATCTTCCAGAGGCGCACCCCATGAACAAAGTGAATGCTGTAGCATGGTTAGATGACAACACCCTGGCATCAGTGGGCCAAGGCTCCAATCTAAGAATCTGGGACATAGTTCACGAGGGTTAGACACTGTTCCAGTTAGACAACTAGATCTATATTGAACTGAACACAATTCTGGGTAATCAAGTCTCTGGCAGAACTCCTTCAGTTCTCTACTAACTTTATAGGTGGTTTGTGAGTGATGTTATGTGCAATCCATCTATAAGAAAATCTCCAACTCTAAGGCTTTACTGTAGAAGTGGAGTCACATTGTTATGATGTGGGAGTTCAGTGATGTCATAAAGTATATACTTTATAAAGGTGTACCTTATGTGGTGGCTCCTTGTTATAGCAAATTTTACAGAATAATTTTGTATTGTTGTGGAACTGTATCCACATGGTGATCAAGAGAGAAACTCTGTGAGGAAATCAAACCCATTCCTCTCATAGATATTGGTCAGGTTCATATTATAATCATGCCACGAGGGATATTTTATCAATGTACATAATGTATACCCAGTGCTTTCAAATCTGCTAGTGATTAATGGAGACTTTCTTTGATATAATCAAACATAAGGTGAATAAAAAATTACCACCAAGTTAAATTAAACTTTTCATGGGAGATTTAAAATAAAATAAAGGCATTTTAAACACTTGAATAGTAATTTCTTGAAGGTGAGGATGAGACCAACTGCTGTAAAAGGAGAATGATGAAAAAAAATTGATTTAATATTTTAGGTGTTGAAATCAGGAATGAAGTTATTAAGGAAGAAATCAAAATTTTCAAATTATTTGATCTTTCTACCTAATTGCATTTTGATACTAGACAGACACTTTCTTACATCATATATAGATGGAGTATAGGTAGCTGCAGAAGAGTCCAAATAATATCTGGTACTGAAAAGTATAAAAATTATTTTTGTTATGAAATTCATAACATTGAGATATACAACAGGATGCACTCTGCTGAAAAACATTTCGCAATCTGTGGTTCAGAGGGGCAATTCATAGTAGTAAAACTTGGGTCTTCAGCTTTGGATAGAATGCTTTTCTGTGAATAAATCTACAAATACAGAATAAATTTTACAATGGTGTTTGTTACTTATCATTTATAAAACAAATAAGGAAAAGATGCATTCTAGTCAAAATTTTGACACAAAAGCCAACCAAGTGTACAACAAAGCCTCTTCAATAAATATATTTGATCAAAGTCGATACTCTTTTATTATATCACATGTCAGTACATCTATTAAATACTCTGTGGCACCTGATTATTTATACATATGCCATAATTTCCCATTTATTTCTTTTGTATGTACAATATAAAGCTAAAGCTTTTTTCTTTAATATCAGATCCGACACTTTGTTAATTGTTAAAAACAAGTGTCCAGTTTATTTTGCAAAGACTTGTCAATCCATTCTTCCCTAAATGCTCTTTGAAGAATTCCAAATGGAATCACATAAAATTGACATCATTTAATAATATTTACATTTGTTTCTGTTATGCTTTTTTTTTTTTAAAGATACAGGTATTGCCCTATTACAGTTTAACTCTTCCTAGTACACCAATTAGTTTCAACTCATGCTTTTAAAGCATCCACACAGCACATTGTCCATCCTACTTGAGAGCTCGGACAACAGTTTTGAACTCTCCCCTAACATTAACAGAAATAGCACTATCCAATCAACTATCACTACCCAATCATACTTTTGGTCAATTTTCACAAATTTGTGTGCACCTGATTTATCTATATACATATCTGGCACTTTACACTGTATTCATTTTACTGTTCCCTTTCCGCTCCCAGATTAAAATAATATATTAAGTTTGTCAAGCAGTGTAACAGCATACATGTTTGGCTGGCAGCTATTTTTGGTCATATTCAACTTGGAGTAATCATGAATACGGACTTTGAGCTAAAATTCTCAAGAAAAATTTACTTCCTGCCAAAAGAAAATCTGTATCTTTTCTGTCTCTACAATGAACTTTCTGTATTGCAACTACCCCAACCAAAATATCGGTTCAGTTCGACTCTTTTGATTAAAATTCATGAAATGCCATGCATATATCCCTTAATCATAAAAGTACCAACACAAAAAAGGTATTAAAATGTTAAGTTATACTGCATTTTTAAAATTTGTCAAAATTGTCTTTAACTTCACTTGCAGTTCATTCATCAAAGGGTCATAGGAGCACAGATTATTCTATTAATTTTTCATTCAGTATTGGACCAAATATTTTATGTTATCTACATTTGCTCTTCATTTCCCAAAATTTCCAAAAGACCCAAAGGCCTGGTTGGCCCTGCTTTGCAGTGCTGCATTGTTGGCCACAGGGGTAGTCATGGCCATGCCTGCTGGAATGCCACTCATCATGCCTGGCTGCTGCTGCATGCCCATACCTGCAGAATAGTAAATGATTTAATGTAGAATGTGTAATGCAACACTCCATGAATAAATGTAAATGAGTTTTTAACATGAACTTCAGCATCTAAACATTTTCCAATTTTGATGGCAAAACAGAAATTATGGTAAAATTCTAGTGGTGTAGTACATATTCTTGAAATTCTGACCCATGATTACAGTCAAGCATATTTTGCACACAATGGCATATCCATTACCTTATGTGAAAAATAAAATATTTCAGAACTGTACCTTCTACTTTGTTCAAAATTACTAGACATCAATGCCATCTTACCCATTCCTGGGTTCATCATGCCTGTGGATGGCTGTCCCAGTGACATTTTTCCCATTCCCTGTGTCATCCCTTGCATGCCTGCAGATGGCCCTGCATACATCTGATTTTGGGGATACATATTAGACATCATGGGGGACTGAGCTCCTGAAAATAAAGCATAGATATGTAACATAATGGTCTTTCATTATACGAAAGTCATAAATCTTAATGATAGAAACAAACAAAACAGCTGAGTGTTAGACATCATCCTATACCAATATATAAGCAACCAATTACCTCTTGACTAAGTTAATTTAAAACCCACTGCCACAGCAAATATGTAATTGAGCTTTTTACAAACAAATGAAACCTTATCTAGCACTAATTGTCATTCTTTTAGTAACAGGAAACATCAGTAATGATACATGCAAAGCCTGGGTCAACTCTGAGAAAACATTTTTTCAATCAAGCTGCTATATAATATTAACCAAATGAAAATATTCACCCAAATCAAGAAAAAACTGGCAAAAACAGAAAAAGAAATTCACATTTTCTTAAGCTTAATGGGCTTTAAAAGAGTCAGCCCAGAGAGGTTTAATAATGCATTTCAGGTTTTACCATGAAGTACACAATGTTAAAGCAAATTTGCATTTTTGACATATTGGGGAAACATTTACGACACTGTGTGACCAACCCTGGAAAGATGAAAATGTTAATGTATAAACCATGCATACCAAAACTGACAAAATAAATACAAAAAAATACCAAAAACATTTGCTCCACCAATATTACAAAAACATCCAGATAAAGCTTGTGATTAGTGTATTATTTATTGCATCATGCACCTCAGTTATCTTAAACCAGTTGCGGTGTTATAATGTTAAATAGGACAAAACCCTCTATATCTATCCATGAATTGTCTAAAATTGCTCGACATGTTTACAATGAAAGCCACATATTACAAGAATATCCCTTGCACCAGATTAGAAGCAAACTATGCCCTGTCCTGTTTCATGCATTTACTTCACGGCAGAATAAAAGAAAGGTAGGCATTTTGAACTGCTATTCCCTCTACTTGCCTGGTAGTATTATCATACCAGTGTAAGGATCATAATAACCCATGGCTTGGAAAGGAAATGTAACGTGTTAATCTAAACAACCAATTTTCTTGTTAATGAAAAATATGTTATGAGATCAGGTGCAATTATGCCTATATATTCATACAGATATTTGTATAGTTATCATAGCATACAATCCTGTGATTGGCCAAACAATTATATTTAAATTTTTCTAATAATGTTTTTAACTAAAGAGTATCTGAAGATCTGTCCTACTTTTTCAGATAAAGAGTAACACCAATAAGGAAGACCTAGTGAAACTGTGTCATGTGTGCATAACTTAAGTGCAAAACAAGATAAAATGCAATCTAAAAATTTTGACCACAATATAAATAAATAAATAAATAAATAAATAAATAAATAAATAAATAAAAACATCATACATATCACTCAATAATAATTCAACAATTGGATTTATTACAAAGTGCTTGATCAATATCTTAAACCAATCAAACAAACAGGAGTCCACTTTCATAGCTGGCTCGTGCAAGCATCTTCATTTTCAAATTTCCTTACATTTCATGACTGCTTGTTGGTCCTGAAGATCAGTGGTGCTGGTATTTGCTTGAAGTTTGCCAAGCTCATCACTGACCTATTACCTGCATCACATAGCTTTCAACAGAGACAATGAATTCAAGATAACCGAACCCCCATTTCTGACTGGCATGGTAAACTTCAAGGTCAGAGTCCAATATGCATGCACATGAAGAAATTTGAAAATAAAACAGCTGACATACATCAGGCCTGAAACTCCAGGTAACAAAGAGACAAACAATCATTATTATAGCACCAAGTCTCACCTGCAATTTGCTGTTGCTGCTGTAATTGTTTCATCGAGGGGGATGTTGGTCCTTTCTGGAATTTATTGGCTGGACTCAGACCATCAAGGTTGATATTTACTGGTGTGTTACTCCAGATTGAGGATTTCTAAATAAAAATGAGAAAGACAATTATACATCAAGTTCTCTTTTCTCAATATTTAAGAAAGCTTTGATGCATTTGAAAGGTTTCAAGAATCTCAAGAATTTTTTGCTGTTTGTTTAGTTAAGGGAAAATGACTCATGTGCCAAGTGCCCAGACCATATCTAGATGCATTATTTATTTTACATACATTTCCTACAGTTTACATTTTCATTGTAAAACCTGATAAGTTCTCATAGAAAAGCATGTCTCTATCTGTTAAATCATCCTCCTCTGTTACTGTTATTCAATGAAACTCACTTACATCAGTGAACTTAGAACATCAAAAGAAAATCAGTTACATAACTAAATGTTAAAATACAAAATATGAAATATTATCAATCTAACCAATTATTGTGCAACCTATATTAAACAGCACATACCACATTGTGAACATCTACAGTTTTATGAACTTCTATGTAAAACGAAAACAATAAAGAAGAAAGAGAGGAGCATCTGAAGCTTACAGAGGAGGGCGGTTGGTTGGAGACGGACCCCGCTGTGGTGTTGGTGCTGGGAGTAGCTTGCATAGAGGTCATGGTCAGAGACTGGACACTGGCTGGGGTCTGACCCACAGGCTGGGGAAGGAAAAGTAAGCTATTTTTGACAATGGGGAAAGGGTTGTGTGAAACATACTGTTCTTTTTATTATTGCTATTTTATTTCTATTTGACGAAGTGTATATTTAACACAAATCTGATTAGTAATTTCTTTGTGTGTACTAATTACAAGATTCTTTATTCAGCAAGTAGTGTGTCGATTTCAATAAAAATGTCAAGGATAATTTTCAAAAGAATTATAAATGATCAGAACAATATGCCAGTTCTAATTACAAGTCACTGATTTTTTTCATTGGTTGTGCTTTCAAAAAGTAGCAAGGAGTCTTTGTTAAGCCAATTGTTCGGACCAAATTGAAACTGTATTGAAACAAAGGGAATACTCATAAAGAGTAAAAAATCATTCAAATGTTTGAAAAAAGAAAATCATAATAGCAGTATGTAAATCATCAATATTGTCAATCCAATAAAAAACTAATTATATTAGCAAGAAATTAAAAGTTAGGTTTTCATAACTAGGCTTTCTCTGCTGTTAATCATATGTGAATGCATAATTTTAATCATAAATAAATATGTTATAAAACGTTAACAGGAACCCCAAGCCAACCACAAAATATGCAATACCATTCATCATTACTGATAATAACAATGGAACCCAGACAGGACAGAGCTGCCATAAGGCAAATGACCAAGAGTTCAATAATTCTAAATGGTATTGCCTGTGCAAGAGAGAAACACTTAAGCACAAAGGTGTTTTTCTAAATGTCAGATTTTCCTTACCGAATCCATGTTTTGTCCCATTCCCATGCCCTGCATGCCACTCATTGGTTGAGCTGCCATATTGTGCCCTGGCATCTAAAAGAGAAAAGAGGAAATAAGCTACATCCTTAAAGATTTCTGCAATAAACAGATGCAAATGAATGAATTATATGACTAACAATGTTGGCTATGTGCTCCATATTCTAAGATTTAGTAAGTAGTGAAGGAGATAAAATGTACATATTATTCAATGTTGCTCCTATCATTTAACCTTTCCAAATATTTTAAGGTAAGATTGGTATAAAATAATTACTTGGTTGTTCATTCCCATCTGTCCCATCATAGGCTGCATGATACCACTCTGTCCCATCATAGGCTGCCCCATCATTGGTTGTGCCATACTTGTCTGTCCCATCATAGGCTGTCCCATCGAAGGTTGTGCCATACTCGTTTGTCCCATCATAGGTTGTGCCATACTCGTTTGTCCCATCAAAGGTTGGCCCATCATGGACTGTGCCCCACTTGTCTGTCCCATCATGGGCTGTGTCATACTTGTCTGAGTCATACCACTTTGTCCCATCATGGGTTGTCCCATCATGGGCTGAGCCATGCTCGTTTGCCCCATCAATGGCTGTCCCATACTGGGTGCCCCCATACTTGCAGGTTGCATAGGCTGTAAAGGGGCAGGGGATAGAAGGTCGTCTAGTGCAGATGAAGACTTCTGTGGGGACTGAGTACTAGCTGAGGAAAAGCTTGAGAAGTCTGCAAACTCATTACTTGCACTGAAATGCAAAAATAAAAAGCTTGAGAATATGTCGATCCTATTAACCTGGATAATAAGGAGATAAGAACAGGAAATCCTATTAATTTCTAAATTCTAAATCCACATTTGTCGGTGAAAAATCAATAAACCCAGGTAAGAACAAGAAAACAAGCTGGGAAATGAAAAGCGTTTATCTAGATGAATCCCCCCCCCCCCACACACACACAAAAAAAAATTAAATAAAACAGATGAAAATAAACAATAAACAAATATAAATATGAAAAAAGGTATTCACCAAGGGAATCATATCTTTTAAATTAAAGGCTCTACTTTCTCATGACTTACCTTTGACTTGAGCTTGCAGCAACTGCTGGGGTTGGAGCAGCAGGCAGTGCGGCTGAACTGGCTGACTGGAACTGACTAAAGTCAGCAAAATCACCATTGGCTTGTGGGGTTTGGGAACCTTGGGAGGGAGCTTTGTGTCTTGCATCCAACTCTGTGAATGGGTCAAAAGTACCCCCAGAAGAATCTAGAAGATCTGGAGACCTTGTCTCTGATGTATGGCTCTGCAAGGAGGCAACAGAAATCATAAATTAAATTTGCTAAGTTGTTTTAGGCTTAAATAATATTAAATTATTGATTTTGCAAAATAAATAAATAAATAAATAAATAAATAAATAAATAAATAAATAAATAAATAAATAAATAAAAAAGTGAAGATTTGAAAAAAAAATTACAATTTTGTGTAATCATTGCACTACTTCTAAAGGCTTCATGCAATGTATGCCCAAACTTTTAGATATCACTAGTACATCCTTCCATTGGAAAATTGCACTTGCATACCTTTGAACTGATATCAAGAAATATATAACTATTACTGTTGAGTATGAATTTTCTAATTCTATAATGCATATATAACCATAAATTTGTAATGCTATTTATGTATTACAGCTTAATACTACCTACCCTTGAGTCACTTTCTGATACTCTTCCAAATCCTGCTGCTGCCCCAAGGTCTATTTTTTTGACTTGTCTATTATTTTTCCGACTTGTTATCCTTTCTGTTCGTGTTGTGTGTGTTCTTTCCATTGTAAATGATTCATCATCATCTTTAAATTCATTTTTATTATAGTCTCTATTCCCAAAGGAATCTTCTTTAAAGTCAGATGCATCTGCAGCCCAACCTATTTCATTATCACTAAAATAAATAAAATGAATTTTCAATTTTGTAAATTTCATGTCATTATCAGTCACATTTATGTTGCTTATCAGATTTAAAATTCTTTCATATTAGAAAGTGAACTGATCATAAATAACAAAGTGCTAAACAAATATTTCATCCAGTTCTTTCAACATTTATAAAAATTTTACATAATTAGTGCCATACATCTAGAAAGATACATAATACAAAAAAAAGTTGGCATTGCTCAATTTTTACAATACATAAACAACTCAAAATAGAACTTCTTGTCATCAGAGTCTCTCACACACCTATCTCTGTCTGCAGGACTGTCTTCATATCCACGTGATCTGTTCCATATCTCCTTCACTTTCCCCAGTGCCTCCTGGGCCAAGGACTGTCTGTTCTGGCGGTCATGTGCATCAAATTCATCTATTTGACTGCGTCCTGATGAAAATCTGTTCGGTTCTTCCCCGTACCTATCACCTTAAAAAAAAAATAAAATAAACATCAATTTTAGCAAATCTTTAGCAAAACAACTGAAACTTTTTCTCAATACATAGTATCATCTTTGACCAAGATGTAATTCAGTTATAACAGTCCCTTATAACAATATTTATTGTTCGAAATAGCTCGGTTATGCCAGGATCAGTTTATGTTAACTGTTACTGAATTGGAAAATAGGAGTCGTGAGCTGACCGTGCCTGAGCGCTTGTTTTTTTGGTTTTAACATATATACATTTAAAGTAACTGAATAAACTGATAATTACCATGGCATAAGATGGGTTCTGCAAAAAAAATATTTTATAAACATGCGAACTTCACCAGTATGTAGTCGTATTAATCAAAGACCAATGGTGCTAACTTACAAGGAACACTACATGTTGTAATGGGAAAAAAGCCACAACACAAAAATAGCATGAAACTTACTATAACCACCATGACGTATTGACATTGCCTCGCCGGATATTCCAGTGTATTTATCTTTGTTTTTCTTGGCCTTTTTCCTTTCTTCTCGCAGTCTGTCGTCATCTTGTATAAAATCTAAAAGATCCTTTGTTTTTTGCCGTACTGAAAGGTAAAAGTACAAGTTTTACATCTACCAGTCCATAAGTCAAATTTAAGTATATTGTGAATGTTAAGTTCATGTATCAATTCAAAGTATCTGTATTTCCAACTAATTATGAAAATATTTCTGATTCAACAGTTTTTTTTTCTTTCTTTTTTCTTGAAAAAAAAATCTGATCTGATACCAACAACAAAGCCATACATTAGATACAAATGTCATTAAACAGCCAATACCACATGACAGATCACAGACACAGGGTTAAATATCTCTCAGTGCCTAAGAGACTCATCTTAACATCATCCATTCTAGAGCTCACCATTAATGCCTTGATCTTTTCCATGCTCATCTATAAACTGGTAAGGTTCCAGTCCCCTAAGGTCATATATATGTTCTCTAGCACTTGTAACTACACGTTCAGAGCCATTTCGTATAAGATAGTTTAGAAGAAGCAAGGCCTGAAAAAAATGTAGAGAAGTATGAAAAAATACTTCCTCACTTTTTCATGAAAATATAAAAGGATAAAGCAACAAAGTAGACAGTTTTTTTTCGTTATCTGGGGGAGGGGGGCATATATTCCAGCAGCGTCAAAGAAAAAAAAGATTTTCATATCCTTGGGGTAATTGCTAATGCTAAAACATGAATCTCAGTCAGATTTAAGCATAAACAAGCATGCACATTTTTCCCAAATATGCATTCAGTATTCCATTAATAATGTGAGCAGCCACCCGTGAAGTCTACAGATGTCCTACATCAAGACATGAAATATGATGGAGAAATGATAATATGACAAATGGTGGAAGAGTATATCATGATTAAATAGGAAAATGTCATCAATGCTATCCGATTCCAAATAAAACACTTTCCTCAACTGGAATTTTTTTGCACGAAAACAATTCTACATTACATCATACGACATCAAAAATCCACTTCTACCCATACAATGGTTCTCAATACACATGAAAATATCATTTTATTAATATGTCCTTATCTTAAGTACTGAGATGACACATAACATAAGGAGTGATCGTGTGATACATGTTGTTAAACAAAGCTATCCTACTCATGAAAATGCCAAATTTTCAATTTCAGTTTAGATCACAGGAACTACAGATCAATATACATTCTTAACAAGTCACTAAAATAACTGCTGTTGGCACAACAAAGAGCATATTGAATTAATCACACACTAGCTTGCTGTTTCCATCAATATCATTCTACTTTCCCTGTTAGATAGGTAAACATCAAATAGCAGCAACTTATAAAATGTGTACTGTAATGTTTCTCCTCTACTGAATACACCTGAAGTGTGACTACTGAACAGGGGACAAAATGATGCTGAATAAAAAAATCCAATCTCTCTTTGCAGTGTTACATATATTGTACTTGAGAAAGGCTTAAGCTGATACAGGCAAAGGATATTTGACACTCATTGTGTGACAGATATATTTAGTCCATTGCGTTCTTCAAGTGACTTCTATGAAAGACAGCTCTTAAAGGATTATATATGCATATTAGCACATTAACATTGTTGCCTTGGAATGTACCTAGATCATCTCTCAGTTAATTACTTGAATTCCTTTCTAGAAGGTACTGGTCTTCAACCAATATACTTCTTTCCAAATATTTTAAAATAATTTTATTTAATTGCACATTTTAAAAAGAAAAACTGTTTTAATATGTGCATCCCATTCATATCAGGAAAAGAAAAATTAAAATGCATCCTGCCTTCTGATGAATAATACAGATTTCCATAAATTAAGACAAAATTTACACTTGGAAATTTTCAAGATAATAACATCGTCCTGTAATAAAATCTTAATTCACATCCTGCTTTGAAATTTCACCAGCAGCAACAATAAAAAAGGGGAGGGGAACACTAGATCCTTCTCAATTCTTTTAAAAAACACAGCTCAGATATACAGGAAATGTTGGTACAAACAATAATAAATAAACAAATACAATGTGGCATCAGCAATAAAAGAACTAAGATGTTGTTAAACATAAATACTTGATGTCATATTGGTGACAACATGATCCCAATATAATAACATTCCAATGTCACTACAGTTCAATGTCACTACAGTTTGAAATACCAATATTTAGCATCTTTGTTGTTTTCTTTATCATATATAAATATCTGATCTTTCTGTAATGGGGGATTTGGGAAGGGGGGAGGGTGAGAGAGATGGAGAAATTAAAGGCACCAAATCCAGGTGAGATATATACCTTGATAGCAATAACAAACCTCTCATGTAAATGACCTATGCCTTTGATAACCTAGACAAGCTGACTGAAGTGTACACTGCTGCTCATAAACCATCATAGTGGAAAATGTTAAGTTGCAGAACAATGCTGGTGTTATTATGATAAGCTGACAAGTGGCAATATTTACTGAATTAATAATCATTTTTGTGTAATTTGACGGAACATTTTAGAAAAATAACTGAACAGAGTCACATTTCAGGCATTTCTCCTTTACTCAGTCATGAGCCCCAGTCCATACAGCTGTTTTTCTTCCTCATGTTTAATATTTTTAAAACCATTATTTTTGAAAATTTAAATATTATTAATTATAACAGAGTTTTCTTAAATGAACATTGTAAACACTCTACCTTATATGTTCTTCTCCAGTTTTTCTTACTGTCTGTGAGCATCCTTTTCCACAGCATCCCCATCACCTCTGGGAAATGCTCATATGTGAAAGTGAAGTGAGCTATCTCCTGCATCAGAGAGCCTGTAGGACCCCATGCATCATCATTTGTCGCTTCTCGAACTTTTGACTCAACCTCAGAATAATTCATCACCACATTGGTGCTGTAAATGTACAATATATGTGGGTTCATAAAATACTAAAAAAATTAACATATAGAAAATTGTTTAGTTATATATTTAGCAGTATCTAGAAAAGATTTAAGGGTCAAAGATTAAAAGACATGGTTTTAAATATCTTGAATTAAGACAGTACAGGTGTTTGTGTTTGTGTGTGTGTGCATGTGTGTATGTGTATGTGTGTGTTTGGGGTGGGAGAGAGAAAACATTTAAACGACCATAGAAAAAAACTGCTCAAAAATGAAATCAAACCAGTATGTGGAGACAGGTTCAAGACAAGAGAAAAGACAACTTGATTCACAACTTTACCACAACTACAAAAAATGTCAACATAACACACCTTCCAATTGACTTTCACAACTATACTGTATAGCCTTATATAAGGCTTAGATTATAAATAGTGCCTGTAAAGTTTTAAGAGGCTTTTTTATCACTAAATATTCGGTATTTAATTCAAAATATATGATTTTGAAACCGACTTCTGACTGCCCTTTTAGTAACATATATGACAGCTTGGTTATCGCTTAAAAAGACGAGTTTTGCAAAGTCCACATCGGACAAATCACTTACAGTGAAATCATTTATGAAATATCTTGTCGTATCAATGGCCTAGTACTATGATTTGAAAAACCACCAGCAATCTACCGGTGGGCGGTGACAACAAAACTTGGGGATATATTTAATGTGAAAACTAAATTAAATAAGAACGCAAACAGGCAATTTTGTGAGATTCCTCCAAATAAAAAAATCTGAGTATCTCAATTAAAAACCAACATCCTTAATTCACCAAATTGCGAATATCAAACTGTGAATTATATTGCATACGTGTCGGGTTTTCCCATATATTTTGTTGACAGGTGTCTGTTCAGAGGGTCGGCATATTTAGAAACAAATCATACTCACACTTTATCGGTGATCTCTCTAATTTTCCACATGGTGAAAATGTGATGGTGCTCCTATGGCTTGAGGTTAATAATGTACACTAAAAGTCTGTAATTTTGGAAGGATGAAAAAGATTTTCACACCATCGGAAAGGCTTGAAGAGCAACTATGCCAATATGGCGCTTGGTCACATGATCAAACTCGACCCATTTCTTAGACTCAGTTTACCTTCAGAAAGTGCCCGTTACATTGATCTTCCACTACGGTTGTATTGCCCTTTTGCAATATTTTATTTTTTAAGGACGGCAGTAATTGTTAGGGGCATTATTAAACCTTTGCTTTGTGAACATTCTAGTAAACACTAAAAAGGTAACTGCGTATAATACTTCATTAGAGCTAGTATCTAGATCTACGCTGACAGACGCAGTGACGGGCACAGGGTTTCTTACTCGACCAACAGACAGTGCACATAACTCCGTTATTAATAATACGCCGTAATGATAGAGGCCTACGCAACGCGTAGGACACCGAGCAGAGCTGTCCCACGATATAAATGTGTTAAATAAAGTATATTTGGAATTTTATGTAGGATAATGTCCATGTCGTCATTTCGTAACTTTTGCCTCAAAATGTATACGTCAAATCTTTCATATCTTTTGTTTGTGTATTTGAGAAGTGTCCTTGTAGGTTCAGAGAGTTTTATGGTTGAGGTTCAATGTTTAAAAATTATGAAAATTTAACTAATTTTTGGGAAAAGAACTTAGGAATTTTGAAAGTTAAATCGTGAAAACTTCTGATATAAACACTATGGTCATATATATATTATGAATACTGTCTAATTGTGTCATTGCCACCCAACACTGATGGGCTTGAACTCCCACGACAGATGTCGAGTTCATTGATAACCCTGACATTTTTCCTCTTTCACACACAGTCCATTTAAAATAATATGTGAATTGAGAAATCATGCCTTGTCTTAATTTCTTGGTACCACGTACCCATGAAATATAGCAATTTATTTTTAGTATAGTTAGTACAGGAAATCTGTAAATGTATTCAAATCCATTTACTCTTTTTATGAAATGTTTTTACATTTTGTTACAATGAGATCATATTTCTGATTTAATGGTTTGTTATTCAATTGAAAAAGATGTGAAAAGTGCTCAAAATTCAGAAAGTACAAGATGAATCTAATTTTACGCTTAAATACATTCTTAAAAGTGGGCTTTAGAATTATTAAAGAAACAAACATTCTGCTACTTGAATGATCTTTAAGACCTCCCACCACTAAAACCCAAATAATTTTACACAAATGATGTTGAAAATATTGAGCATTCAAAAAGCAAAGCAAAAACTAAATTTATAAAATGTTCTATTTACACACAAAATGTAATAAAATTAAGCATCAAAATATCTTATAGAGAATGTAATAGTAGCCACTGCTGTTCAAATACTCATTCACTCACTCAGTGTCTTGCAGTAAAAGGAAAGACAGAAAACAACTTCAATTTCACTACCTCCCAGACCACTTATACAAATAAAAATTCAAAGTTATTTATCCTTTACTGTTTTAAAATGATCCATATATCACTCAAAACTACTGGTCAAGATCAACATGACATGTAAGTCGCAATGAGTGAAACTAGGTCTACAGATGCAAGTTATTCATTTCACATTCATTCACCACTAACTAGTTCGACAAATTAAAAAGCATGGACACTTGAATTTAAAAAAAAAAAAGAGCTGCCAAGGTGTAATAGAATAAATAATGGCCAGCTTGGGTTCAATCATGTGTTCATCAAAGATTTACAGAATACATGCCATTAAGGCAAGTGTTGTAATACAATTGCTCGTTTCATTGTGGAATATGCATAGTACTTCCATTACATCTTTCTCACTTTTAAGTGGAACACTGGGGACTCTAATAAAATAACTGTGCATTTTTTCCCCTTAATGATCATAACACCAATAAAATCTATCCTTCTTTTTATCTTTTTTGAAATCCAAGTGCTTTTGAGGTAAAATCTTTCCTTGCCTGTGCGTCATTCACACCCCTGTACCTTAACAATAAATCTTTACGTAACTAAGTGTACACAAAAAATATGTACAATAAAATATAATTCCCATAAATACAATTCATTCCATGAAAATAATTTTATCTCAAGGAAGAAACAAAAATAATAACTAAAATAATATAATCTAAAATATTCTATCCCAATTTCTTTTTTTAATCTCCTCAATAATTGTGATTGTCTACATCTATTTCCTTGTCCTCGTCACTCTTTTAGGTGCTGGAGATTTTTTAACTGTCTTGGATTTTGTTTTCTTGGACGCAGGTGTTGCTTTCTTGGGAGATGCTGCCTTCTTCAAGGCATTTTTCCTTCCAACTTTTGGTGTGGCAGGTTTGGCTGGAGATGCTGTCTTGCCCTTCCTGGATCTACAGTCAACAATAATTTATCACATAGTGTGGATAACCAGTTACATTCATTATACAAATATTCATAATAAGCAATACTGATACTAGGTAACAGTTTAAAGAAGAATTCCATATGGTGTAATGGTGTATTATCGAGCAATTTGCAAATTTATCTGCCGAGGTGAAAATATTTTTCAAAAGAACCTGTAGGAAAATAATTTTTTTTCACTTTGTTGACGTTTGTAAATATCAAACAGTGTTATCACATATAACTAGGTCTGACAAACTAAATTACCTTGTAGCCTTTGGTGTTGCTGCCTTCTTTACAGGAGATGCAACTTTCTTTGAAGTGGTCTTCTTGGACTGGGCAGCAGTCTTCTTTGCTGGGGTTGCTGCCTTAACTTCTGTGATCTTTTGTGCCTTTGATGTCACTGGTTCAGGAACTGGAGATGCTGCTCTCTTCTTACCACAGCTGCTCATGCAAAGTTAAATTGAGTATTAGTCTAGCCACATGCAGAATATTTGAACTATTTTCTAATCAGGCCTACAATTTTCACACCGAAAATTTGCTGAATGGCTCTCAAAATATTTCATAAATTCTAATGTTTAAAATTCTTCTCTAATATGGACCTTTTATACTAGAAAATGTACTGTTAACAGCAACCTCTGTACTATTTAGTTTTTTCACCCATGCATACCTGGCTGCAGCTTTTGCAGGAGTTTTAGGCTTGGCAGCTGCTCCTTTTCTAGTTGTTCTCTTAGCCGGAGTTGGTGCAGTAGTAGCTTCCTACAACAGAAATCACCTTCTTTACCAGTGGTCGTTTAATGTATATTCGTATGTCAAGTTGTCTCCCATCAAGTTGAATTAAACTTCACTTATCATTTCTTTCTCATGTTCATCAAATGTACTAGAGGTAAATCACTGGCAACATCATTACTTCAAATCTTGATGGCATTTTTGGTCTTTTTATTTGACATTACTCCTCCAAACTCAAAACCATCATGAAACTGTGCCCATTTATACTCTGCACACTTGTATAGCTAATTTAATCCATATATCATCAATTATATCTACACCACTTTGATAAAAGACGTTTTCACTTATATCTTTAAACAAAATATTTCACAACTTAAAAAAATGTATGCTCACTAAACAAACATACTAGAGGACACCATACCTTTTGTGGACTTGTTGCTCTCTTCTTTGCCACAGCTTTAACTGGTGTGGCAACCTTGGCTGGAGAGGGTGCTGTTTTCCCTCGCCTGCTTGTGCGGGGAGCCTTAGGGGTTTTTGCCTTCACTGGAGTAGCTGCCTTCTTGGCAGCAGATCTGCCTCTCTTTGCAGGTTTTGGTGATGGTACAGCTACAGGTTCCTCTTTTGCTGCTGTCTTTTCTTGCTTTGCAGTACGAGTAGGTTTTGGGGTGGCTGGCTTAGCAGGTGATGCTGCCTTTTCTTTACTTGTAGCACGTGAGGTCTTCTTTGTTGCAGAATTCACTGGTGAGGGTGACTTTTTGGATGCTGCTCTTCCCCTGCGAGTAGGCTTGGGGGAAACCTCTGGAGCAGGAGTTGCTGCTTTTACTGGGGTTTGGGTTTTAGCTCCCCTCTTAGTTCTGGAGGCCTTGGGTGTTGCGGCTTTTTTAGGTGTAGCAGCTTTCTTTGCAGCTGCTCTTCCCTTTCGTGCAGGCTTGGGGGTTGGTTCCTTTGCTGGAGTAGCTGGTGCTGCAGCTTCTTTCACAGGGGTGGCAGCCTTTGCTGGGGTCTGTGCCTTGGCTCCTCTCCTTGACCTGGAGGCTCTAGGCGTGGCGGCCTTTTTGGGGGTTGTAACCTTTTTTACAGCTGCTCTTCCTTTACGTGCAGGCTTGGGTGTGGGTTCTTTTTCTGGTGTGGCTGCCACAGCAACCTCTTTCACAGGTGTAGCTGCCTTTGCTGGTGCTTTTGTCCTTTTTGCTCTTGTGGCCTTAGGGGTTGCTTTCTTTACTGGTGTGACGGCTTTTTTAACTGGAGTGACCTTTTCTTTCGCAGGTGTGGCTGCTTTCTTTGCTGGTGACTTGGCAGGACTTTTAGCACCCCTTCTTGTTCTCGTTGCCTTGGGACTTGCCATGACAGGTGATGCTTTTTTAACTGCTGCCTTTCTTCCCTTTGTTGGTTTTGGTGTAGTGACCTTTTGTGGAGTTGGTTCTGATTCCACCTCCTTCACTGGTGCTGCTAGTTTCACGGCACCTCGTCTGGCCCTCCCAACTGCCTTTTTAGGGGATGGTGTCTTCTTGGCTGGAGAAGGAGTCTTAATTTTGGCTGGAGACTTTGCCTTGGGTGTCTTGGTTGAAGGACGTACTCTCTTTGCAGCTGGAGATGGTGACCTGGCATCAATTTTCCTCTTTTTGCCTCTGACCGGGGTCGCAGCTTTTGGGCTTGAAAACAACTCTTTCACTCCACTATAGTTAACATCTGGCTGCTGTTTTGGCGTTTTCAACAATTCTCTCACACCAGTTAAACTAGGCATAACTGGGGTTTTCTTTACTGAAGATGGTCCTCTCTTGAAAGGAGAGGTGCTTGGTCTCTTTGATGCAGGTCTAGGAGTGGTCATAGGGGACACAAACATCATTCCTGGACCTTCAGGGGTCTTAGGAAGGTCAGAATATGGAGTAAGTCCCTTCTTCGTTGACTTTGGTGTTGCACTCTTTGGAGTGCTGAAAATGTCCTGAATACCAGTGAAACTGACATCTGCAGCATCAATCTTCTTACCAGGCTGTGGAGAAGTAATGGATCATGCATCAAATACATTCCATTGAAACAAGCACATTACAATAACCAATGTTTAGAAAATCTTTAATTTTGCAACATTAACAATAATTAACATAATGCTAGGAGTAGCAAAACCCATGTACAGAAAAAAAGGCTGTCAACAACCCAGTTCAAACTTTTTATCACACTATCACATCATTTGAAAATCCATCTTCATTTGAAAATGTGAATTTACCTTTATAGGACTCTTTCTTCCCTTCCTAGGTGCAGTTTTGGGCGTCTTCAACAGTTTCTTATGGATCAAAATGGTAGCTGGGGAGGTAGCATGTCCAGTATGTGATATTTGGCCTCTCACTGCAGCTGGAGTCCTGGGGGCTTTCTAAAAATAGCAAAAGCAATTTGAATCCAACTTCAGGGCTTTTATCATCATATCTTACATGTGTAAAATTGGACTTCCCCTTCAAAGTGTATAAAATAATAATACTAACAATACATAAAATAAATTTAAAAATAATTATTTCTGTAAATTCTAAATATTTATGCCACTACTAGTTAACATTTTATTTACTGGTGTTATCATGAATACCTTGGCGGACTTGGCCTTGGCAGGAGTTTTAGCCTTCTTTGAAACAACCTTCACCTTCATTGGTTTTGGAGCAGGTTTCTGCACAACAACGCCTGTGACAGCCACTCCCTTTTTCACAATATCTGCCCAAGTCTTAGGCTTCTTCACGGATAACTTGGGGGTGCGGGATCCTCTTGGAGTCCTAGCAGGAGTTGCTTGCTTTTTCATGGAAGAGGGCAGTTTGGGTGTTGCAGATTTCCCATGAATGGCTCTCAGTGCAACAGCCTTTTTGACGTCTGATGCTGGAGTTTTGAGTTTCTTAGCCGAGGAAGGTTCTGGAGTTGCCGGTGCTACTTTCCTTCTCTTAGCACTTGTTCCCACTGGAGTGCTGGCTCTTCTCTTCTTTGGAGATGGTGATTTAGCCTTGGGTGTTGCCTTTTTAGGCGTCTTGGCCTTAGGGGTTTCCATTAAATCAACAAGGCTTGACAGTGCTTCCAGAGTGACTGCTTTTGGTGTAGCTGGTTTAGCAGCCTTTGGTGTAGTTGCCTTTTTGACTGGGCTCTTTTTAATGGGGGTTTTCTTTGCAGACTTAGGGGTTGCTGCAGGAGACTTCTTAGAAGTTGCAGATTTCTTGGGTGTTGGGGTGCTGAATAGCCTAGCCACTCCCTTGACAGAAACCACTGGTGAAACTTGTGGAAAACGCTTGAATGGTGAAGTAGATTTACGAGATGATCGCTTGAGAGCAGCAGCTTCTTCTACTTCTTGTTTGTGTTTCAAGAATTTTTCTTCTGGAGACATTTCATGGTGAAGAACGATGGGCTTTAACACATGAACATGTTTCTCTGGTGTCTTACCCTTTGGAGTTTTCTTCAAAGCAGGTGACGTCAAAACTGGTGCAGGGGTTTTAGCCTTGGGTGTAGCAGCCTTTGGGGTTGCTAGTTTCCCTTTAGGAGTTCTTGGAGATGCCTTAGATGGTGTCCTAGCTTTAGGTGTTGATTTCTTAGCTGGTGACGGTGTCTTGGTCTTGGGTGTTGCTGGCTTGCCTTTGGGAGATACTGCCTTACTGGCAGACTTAACTGGAGTTGGAGTCTTAGCAGGTGAGGGAGTTTTAACCTTGGCAGGGGATGCTGTCCTTGCTTTAGGAGTGGCTTTCTTAACAGTTGGAGGAGTTTTAGCCTTAGGAGTAGCCTGTTTAGCAGGTGAAGGTGTCCTTGCTTTTGGAGTAGTCTTCACTGGAGTTGGGGTTTTAGCCTTAGGGGATGCTCGCTTTGCTGGTGATGGAGTCTTAGCCTTAGGGGATGCTCGCTTTGCTGGTGATGGAGTCTTAGCCTTAGGGGTCTTTTTTGGCGAAGGACTTTCTGCAATAGATGCAACTCTAGGAGTGGCAATGGATCTTCTCAGGAGAGTTTTAGGGGTTCCCTTCTTTTGGTACACTCCCTCGGAAAGTCTTCTGGTTGGTGTTGCACCCTTCTTAACTGGAGTTGCTGGTGGTAGACGCTTATCAAAGTGCTCTGGACTAAGTGCTGGGCCAAAAGACACACTCTTTCTTTTTGCACTCGGAGCAGGGCTAGGCAATTCAAAAGCTTTTCTTTTGCGACCTGATACTGGAGTTTTGCCTAAATATAAAACGTAAAATATAAATCTCTGCCATATCATGGTTATCATTATAAGAAAATAATAATAAAAATATAATGATAATAATAATAATAATAACACTTACCTGGCAATTTACCTGGGGATTTCTTCACAGGGGATGCCCTTTTGGGTGTTACTTTTGGCGAAACTGTTTCAGCTTCATCGACCTCTTTTACAGGCTGAGAACGCCTGCGTAGATCAGTTATCCCCAGCTTAAGGGCTGCAACCTTTGGTGTCCTGGGACTACCAAATGGAGAAGCCTGTAAACAAATAAAATATATATATAAATATTTAAAATTTGTACATCTAACAAGTTAGTGTATAGTCTAATGTTTTCACGCTCTGTGCTCTAAAATGATACATAATAAAAACAATCACAAAACATGGCAGTCCACAATGCCAGCTTAGATAAATTCAATTAAAAGTATAATGTGTCGTGATACCTTTTTACCAGCACTTAACCTCTTCGGACTTTTCTTTGGACTTGCCATTCTCTTAGGGGATGGAGATTTGGGACTGGAGACAGATTTTCTCTTTCCAGCAGATTTAGGAGTTGTGGCTGAAATGAACAAACATATCTTATAAGTCTTAGCTGTGTCACTTGAGAATTAAAATAGGAAATTAATGACAAATGATGAAAATCATGCAATTTCCACCTAATATTCTAAAAATATAATTTTGATTTATAAGTAGTGACTAATATATTAACATAAATATTAATTGGAGAATAAAAGGGCAAGGGCATAGAGACAGCTGTTTCCTTAACTGAGCAAGTTTTTTTTTACAATTCAATTTATTTTCAACAAAGAAAAATTCTACATTACAGCTTGTTTTCATATAACTCCACATTCTGAACACAATGTCATGTAATATACCTTATAAAAACAATTATACATTTCACTTTTTTTCCCAGTCTTAAAATCATCTTTGTCAATCAATCATCAAGGATTTTCTATTGTGGTAAACATAATTTGTACTGTATATAAAATATTATTGTCTAACTATCTTGCATGAAACAACTCCAATGCTGGCCCTCTACATGCAAGAAGAAAAGGCATGACAGACTAGGTGTTTGTAGAGTAGCTCTCCGGTCCCACTTGACTCTCTTCATGGCAGAAACGCTGTGCTTACTGGCATCAATAAATATATTTCTGCAAATAAGCCACTTGCCATGAATCTCTCTCTTGCTTCATCTAAAAATAGAAAAGACATAATTACTATTAGACATATGAAACTGTAAGATGAATACCCCTGGCTATCTGTGAAAGTGCTAAGTCATATTGTCATAAAATTGCGTCAGCTTACTGCCATTTTTTTGAGAGCATGTGTATCAGTGCAGTTTGTTCAAAAGAGATTTTGTGGCATGATCTTATAAAAGGACCTACTAAAATCATCAGCTTGACTTGGTTTTTAACTTATTTTAAATGTGCTCATTACCAACTCTGCACATAAATAGACATATGAACCATGTGACCTGAAGTTATTTGCCGATTCATTATCTGATATGTTAAGTTTGATGAAAAAGTTGAGGCCAAGACTTGGACACAACAGCCTAAAATATATTCTTATATGAACTTACCTTCAAGTAAATATTTTTCCATATCTGACAAGTCTGCCTCGACCAGATCTTTTTTTTTTTTACAGCAAGCTCAGCAACTCGCGGAAAAACAATTCCCCTGCCATAGTTACCGTGATTGACAGTTAACAAATGTTGTAAAACTGCCACATTGTTTTAATAATAACAATACTTAATTGAGCACAAAAAAATGTGTACAGGCTCTCTATTCTACAAATACGTATATACAAAATGCATACTTAGCAATATAGGCTGGAATACTATAAATTTATTCATTGTCTCTATGTGGTATTATCACGCCTTGAAATTCAATTTCATACTCAATTTTCACTTGCCCCTCAAAGATTTCACTTGCTCCACATTATAGATATAATCGATTTCTTTCTATGGAAATTGTTTTAATGCAAAACGAAAAACATGTAATTCTTTCAAGATAAAATAAACAAATTACAAGATACATTCATTGTTTTTATTTCATTTTGTTACATTCCAAATTAAAGGATATCTTAAAGAAAAATTGGACTTACTGACTTTCAGAATATGACAGAACTTTTATGCACTCTTAATTTTCACAAATTGAGCATGAGAGAGGCACTGCAATAACAAGCTACTGAAAATAATTTGGTAGATACAGTTATTCTTCTTCTTCTTTTTTTTTTTTTTTTGAAATTTTAAGAAAGCAGCACAGTAGGTAACCATTGCTAACAAACAGTAATGAGGGTTCCAGTGTTCTTTTCAAAAATTGTCAGATCAAGTAGTTAGCCATCAGGTATATCATCTGCAAATATCCCCCCCCCCCCACCCTGTGCACTATTCCACCACAAATGGACAGCATGCTCTGCAGCATAGGACTCCAGTGATGGGCCTTCCAAGGATGCAATCAATTTTTTGTAGTGTCCTCTTGGCATGAAGTGCTAGTGGATGGACTGTTTAACTCCGGTTCATTCACTTTTTCTACATTGTTTTCATCGTTACATCCTCCAAAATACTTTCAAAGAGTATTCCTTTAACTGTGAGAGGACATTTCACCTTGCTAGCTACCATGCCTCAAATGAAGCACACATAATTTTTTCAGGGTTCTGATTGGCCAAAATAATAATATAAATAATAATGATAAAAAAAAAAAACTGGTGTATAATCAATTGCTTTGCACCCTTACGTAAATCGCACATATTATTGCATAAGCAGGGGGAAGGTTTGTCATTTTCAAACTTGCTTGCTACCAAGCCTCAAATGAAGTGCACATTGTTATATAAATAAACAACTTGTATTGGTTCTTTTTATATATTATTCTTTTACAGTTTTATATGACATGTATGGGCAGCCAAAAGGGCAAAAAATCATGTCGTCGATTCAGTTATGTTTCGTCGATTCACTGCCTTCCCATCGATTCAGTTTCAAGTTTAAATGATCCTGTCATAAATTCAACATCTACTTTCGTCAATTCAATTGTCAAACATTTCTCATCTATGGTGTATTAAAACTAATGCTGTCACTATTTTCGTCGATCGTTTAACTATTCTCGTCGATCGTCTCATCTCATCGATCGTCCAACTAATCTCGTCGATCGTCTATTCTTGTCGATCGTCTCATCGATCGATCGCCAGAGGGCGCTGCAGTAGCACATTGGCCTATCACATGACTATCAAAAAGGCAGACAACAAAATGATTGCTAGTGAAATAAGAACATTTTCTGAACAATTTTAATCTTAGTTGTTAATAATTAAAATCTATTCGGTTGTAGGCACATTATTTTCTAGTTGATTTCAACTCTGACCATGGCTGGCTGAGTAAAAAATTTGCGTGATTGACAGGCAGAAGCACGTGTTGCTACCGCAGCGCCCTCTGACGATCGATCAATGAGACGATCGACGAGAATAGACGATCGATGAGAATAGTTACACGATCGACGAGATTAGACGATCGATGAGAATAGTTACACGATCGACGAGATTAGACGATCGACGAGAATAGTTACACGATCGACGAAAATAGTGACAGCATTGGTTTTAATACACCATAGATGAGAAATGTTTGACAATTGAATTGACGAAAGTAGATGTTGAATTTATGACAGGATCGTTTAAACTTGAAACTGAATCGATGGGAAGGCAGTGAATCGACGAAACATTACTGAATCGACGACATGATTTTTTGCCCTTTTGGCCGCCCATAGACATGGTCACTTTCAGTGACTGGGACAATGCATCACCTTTCACCAGCTTGTCACACCCAGTTCAAATCTCCCAGCAGAGGGACCACAATATTTCTCTGTCCCCACTAACACAATTCAGGACAATACTTTACACACAAAGCTTTTTTTCTGGGTTCTGATTGGAAAAAAAAAAAAAAAGGTGTGCAAGCAGCTGCTTTCCACCCCTACATAAACCACTCAAATAAGTGCATATTCAGGGGGGAGATTTTTCAATTTTAAACTTACCAAAACAGCTTGCGACTCGGATATATATTACTTTACTGTACACTGTACTTGGAGTACTTGGTTAACTAGGAAGTTTTCCCAAAATGATTTTGAAAGTGTCAGTTTTTTTTATCACTGAATTGATGAGCACTTATTAAATACCTAGGAAGAGGTGTGATATTGATTTTTACAGAAACGGGTTTTGGGATCACTTGCCAGGTCGGGCAGAACGGTGCACATTACGATTGCCCTACGGTTCATATTGGCAAGTCGGACAAGCGGTTATTTCGAGCCCTGTATTATGCGGACGCGGCATTCGTTTTTAAATGAGTTTCTGGATTATGCATACATATTTTTAAAATTTGTTTTAATTTAATCGCTACACTAGCATGGCAGAGTAAGATCGTTTTATGCACCCAGTTTTTTAAATCATATAGATCTACCAATTTAAATTCCCCCCCCCCCCCCCCCGTCACACTCTCCTAACAGAGCGTGGGCTCAAATTTTAAGGAGACTTTTGGTAGCGAAAGTGATCTACTTTTACAGGGATAATGAAGTAAAAACTAACTTCTCCAGACAAGTTAACAGCTAATAGTCACATGTATTTCAACGCAATTGCTCGGTAAATTTCACTGGCCCGGCCAACAAACCAATTGCAAAATGCAACCATCACCAGTATATATGTCGAGGGCTGTTCAACCTTCAGAAATTTACCTTGAGGAGACACTGCCTTCCGCTGTGGTGTTTTCACTTTAGGGCTGGTCTTAGGGGATGCCTTAGGAGAAGCTGCTCTAGGTGTGAGAGCCTGAGGAGTGGTAGCCTTGGGGCTGGCCTTAGGAGTGCCAGCTCTTGGTGTAGCAGCCTTGGGAGAAGCTTTTGGTGAAGCAACCCTAGGTGAAGCTTTTGGTGAAGCAACCCTAGGTGAAGCTTTTGGTGAAGCAACCCTAGGTGAAGCTTTTGGTGTTGCAGCCTTAGGGGAAGCTTTTGGTGTTGCAGCCTTAGGGGAAGCTTTTGGTGTTGCAGCCTTAGGGGAAGCTTTTGGTGTAGCAGCCTTACGGGAAGCTTTGGGTGTAGCAGCCTTAGGGGAAGCCTTGGGTGTTGCGGCCTTGGTGTTGGCTTTTGGCGTAGCAACTTTAGGTGTAGCCCTAGGGATAACAGCTTTTGGAGAGGCAGCCTTAGGCGTTGTTTTAGGAGTAGCAGCCTTAGGTGTTGTTTTAGGAGTCGCAGCCTTGGGTGTTGTTTTAGGAGTAGCAGCCTTGGGTGTGGCTGGTCTTTTCGGAGAAGGTGATCTTCCTTTAGATACAGGTGTCTTCTTTGCTGAACCTGGAGTTTGAGGGGCTACATTTTCAACTCCAGTAGGCTTGGGAGTTGGAGGCTTCTTCTGAAAGCATGGTGAATTTAATATCAATAACAAAAGTTGCCAACTGTAATATTAAGTTTTAGTAAAACATATGGTAATTATGCTCTTTTCAATGGAGGAAAATTGTGAATTTTACAGATTCTGTATTTTTTAAGTCACAATTTCTTGAAATAGAGCTTTCCAATGAGTGGCAGCAACAAAATTAAAAAGCAGGTTACTATATAGCTTTGTTCTATAAAGTAAAAGGACAACAAATGCTAAATAGGAATATAATTTGTGGTTATAAAAATTTGTATCTGAAGGTTTGATAATTTGCCCATTGAAAAGCTTGATTAATTATCACAAGTATATATTTTTTTCATTTAACCAAATACAAATCATTTGCTTATATAAAAAATTTGCAAAGATAATACCATGGGTGTCAAAACTTTAGAAGGTGCTGGGCTCTTTGCCTTGGGAGTTAAAATCTTAGCTGGTACTGCCTTTGATGGGGATACATTTCTGTACGGTGATCCAGGCGGGAACTCAAACCGAAAAGAACGATCTATAACTGTGAAAACATCATTGTGCCCAATCAGCATGGTCTTGGTTAAGGAGGTTCCATTTACCATTGTTGGATTCACAGTGCTCAAATTAGTGACAAAAATCTGAAAAAGATTTTCAGCTCCATTAGTATTAGGGCAGTTTTAAACATTGTGGAAAATTGTTTCAGCTGTTCCCCTTCATCATCTATCTGAATCAATTCATATTGAATGCAATATCCTACATATAAAAGTGCTTTGACTCATATAATAGATAGGTGTTGCATGAATAACCAACCTGCCCTTCCTGATTAACATCAATCTTGCAATGCTCCTTGGAAACATTGGGCAGTTGAATCCTGATGTCACAATCATTACTTCTGCAAAAGGCAATAATAAAACACTGGGCATGAGACAAAGTCATAAGTTGGTCAGTTTGGTAATAATAACAGATGGCAAATTTTCTTTTGCCATACACTTATTTTTTTCATGTCCATATTGATGCAAGTATAAAAAGAAATTAGCTTGTAACAAGATCACACTTCCAACATTCTGATCCTTTTTTTCTAAATATGATGAATGCAGGGAAATAACTAGCTGCAAATGCCTCATTTATAAGCAATATATACAAACCAGACAGTTAAATAGTTATATCTAATATTTCAAAAATGCACCCATTAGTCAAACTGATAAATAAGAGAATATTACTTTGGTCTAAACTTACCTTCCAATCAAACATGACGTTGCTGTCAGTGGAAAATGGGCCCCATCTGCACCATTTCTCTTAATTACAACAATTTTTCCATAAAGCATTTTATTTCTGTAAAAAAATAACAGTTTTAAACATTAGTATTTTTGTAACATACTTTTGGAATATAATTAATAACTATTTGGTCTAAAAGCTACTGACAAGTCCACTTCATTCACTTCAGAAAAAAGACTTTTGCTTTTCAGAGAGAACAACATGGTTAGCATTAAAATTCTATAAGACTAAAAACCCACATTATAAGAGCATTCTGCATAGATTGTACATAACTAAATTATATTTCCTTTTTCTACCTTTGTATTCAAAGTAGTGATAAACATTTAATAAGTCATTATATTACAAATTGTGTTGACTTACTTTAACACAAATTTTCAATTTCAATTTTTCACATTTACAAAAAAAAACCTTGGTATATTATAGGGCCAGTATGTTAATAAGAGTTTGGCATATACTGCTTTTTTTAAATCACAAATTAATAGAGTTATCTTTGTGGTAACAAAGTGAACTAATATTTGACATTGGTTTGCACCACTGCTTGCATCTGTACAAAAAGCTTGGATTTTCAAATTCAATGATTTTCAAAGCAGGTGTTTTCACCTTCACATCATCATCTCAAAAACAAAAATGAGTAGCAAATATTTTAATTTGCATTTTTCTTTCCAATAAAACAACAACAAAAAAAGCATTACAAATGAATACAAGAATGCAAACAAAGGTAATGATTAGTCAATCAAAATGCAAATACAATGATCGTTGAAAATAATTAACATGACAAGCTTATTTACAATAAAATTCTGCACATGGAAAAGAGTGACGTTACTGATAATTAAGCGTAGGGTTGACAAGCTTGCAAAATTTTGTAAAAATTACTTATTCATGGCAGTCAGGTTACATGTATGGCATGATGAATGTTCGTTTACTTATGGTGAAGAAAATCTGTTCTTATTTTCAATCTATTATACAATTTGGACTAAATATTTAGCAAACTAAAACACGAGGAATCCACATTAATAGACGTAAGGAAAGTAAAATGGACACTGGTGACCTTCATAATGTGCAAACTGGAGTGGTTCACCAGATTAGTTGTAACACTGCAGTCTAAATACTATATAGACCCCTATGCTATTTTAGCGTGTTTACGACTAGTCTTTCTGGGTACACGTGCTACTTACCCTACATGAAATCCCAAATGTAAAGTTGTACTTGAAAATCTTAAAATCCGAGCTCCAAGAGTGCTCGGTATTGGGAAATTACCGCGATTTTATTTTATAATCCAGTCTCGAACTCTCCTTTCCGCGCAAAAATTGAAACGGTTAACCGCAACTTCTTGCTTCCGTGCCAAAATAGTTCGAAAAATTAGTTCAGATATTCAGATATCAAGATGTCTTGTTCTGCACGTCACCATTCATTTATCCTTCTGAATCGAAATGATACTCAAAATATTTAAAATGAGGTTTTAAAATATTATAAAGAATATGGTTGTACAGATGAAAACAAAGCGGAGTAATATATTACTCTAACTAGGCCATAATGGTCAAATTTGAATTTTCACATTTTCCATTTTGATTGGTTGCTATTTGACCCATTAAGGATAATTGTCTAAATATGGTATGTGTCAAAGGTCATTTCCGGATAGATCTCAGGTCATGCTTTTGGCGTCGTTGTTCGTTACACTCTGAGCGGGATATGTGGTTTACCAGCTGATAAGTTTACTCAAAGGATATATAACGTACCATAAGGTATCAATTAGTTTTAATTTTCACTATGTGTTCAAAGACTCAGTTGTTAATCATTTAAACCAGCGGATAAGTGTTAAACATATTTATAATGTCTTTGACAGTGTCGTTCATAAGGTCTTTCTTGATTAATTGTAATTTGTAAACAAAGTGCCTTTTTGTAAATTTATAGTATTTAGATTTCTGTTATTTTCGTAACATAATGCCAATCATTCTTTTCTCCAGCAGATAGATTAATTTCATCAGGGATGTGCAGCACATTAATGAATCTTATCTGATTCTATAAATTAAGAAGTGCCTTAAATACAATGTAGCTGACCCCCCCCCCCTTCCCACCACCACCACCCAACACCGAATGAGTTTCAATATTTGAGCTAGTATGACAATTAATTGTTATTGTGCATTTATTTGGTAAACCAGCTAAAAAAATCAGGGTGTTAAAAGCACATTTCCCTTTCTCTATTTATCCTGATTTAAGGAATGCAGAACTTCTAACATGCTTTTGATCAGCTTAATTTAATGAATGATCTAGATACTCTAAATATCATTGTTTAAAGATGCATGTGAAGTAATTACTTTTGCCACAAAAGCCAACTAAATGCCTGCATGTAGTTTTAAGTATATAACTAAGAGAATTACCAAAAGGCATTGTTTAATTTTACCTGAAAATTATATTTGAACGGATTTTTCTGCTAGCATTCAGTGCTGTATGTCAATGGGGCAGAAAAGTAGGCCATGAAAGTAGGTTAAATTTCTGACCAAAAATTTAAAGAAAGCAGTCTAAAGCTCTTTTATGGCTGATCTAGTGATTTATTCAGTTTATCCCTTGGCATGTTGAATTTATAAGAATAGTATAAGAAACTAGTAGAAGTGGTTTATATGTGTTACTGGGAATCCACGCTCCACCAATGCTCGGTTCATATATACCTTTAAACAGGTCTTTTTTTAAGTTTTTCCATTTATATATTTTTTACTTATTTTAGAATGCCACCAAGAAGTGGGAAAACCCCACAGCGCACCAGTGCTGCATCTCGCAGGAAAAGTGTAGGCAAACCTGCTAAGCCCTCTAAGATCCCTTCTAGGGATGGTGCTAAAGCAGCAGCACTTTCGAGGTACGCCAAAGCAGGCAACTTGGCTAAAAAGGGGGAGGGGGGTGTTTGAGAACATGGTCATGAAGTGTGACATAGGGTGAATTTTTATTAATAAATTTTACACATTTTTAACAATGCATAATTTAATTGATATGCAGTTTTTTCAATGCATCACTTCAAAATTGTTTTCTTGAAATAAGACAAATATCACTTTTGTTTAACAAGTTTATTGTCATTACTATCTTTATTCATTATTCTTTAAGGGTATATTCACCTAAGACAAAGAAAAGTGCATCAAGATCTTCACCCTCAAAGTCACCTGGGTGGACAAGTGGCTCAGCAGCTCTTTTTATATCTCCAAAAACACCCCCAAGAAGACCAAATACTAGGAGGTACGCAGTTTGTATGCTTGATCCTTTTTGTCTTTCACTTTGTGAGTCAAGGACAGGTCTTTGTTGTAATTAGCATAAAGTGACTTTTAAGGTTGCACAACTGTTGAAATCTACATTTCAAAGTTGCAGTATTTATTTCCAACTTTCCCTGAAATAAGAAGCCATGTCTGGTTAATTATTTCCATACAAGGTGCTTGTATTAAGAAGTCTGATATTTGATTAAACAAGTTTTTTTAAAATGCTTCAGGTCATCTATCTACCAGAGGAAAGGTGCAACTGCTGCAAAACCAGGGTCTCAAAAGTTCAAGAAACCGGCAACACGCACACGTCAGCCAGTGTCTCAGCAACCAACATCCCCAGCTGTGTCCAGCAGAACTAGGAGGGCCTCAGTGTATCAGAAAAAAACACCTTCCAGGGCCAGATCTCCTGCAAAGGCCAAAACACCAGGATCTGGCAGAAAGTCTCAAAAATCAAGGACACCTGCAGCAGTTGAAATACCCAGCTCAGTCACTCCAGCAAGTGCAAGTGCAAGAAAACGTAAAGCGTCACCCACTAGGAGCAAAAGCCCAGCAAGAAAAGCTCCTGCATCTAGGAGCAAGACCCCAGTCTCCAAAACCCCAGCATCTAAACGAAAGAGCTCAGCAGCTAAAACACCTGCATCCACACGTAAGAGCTCAGCAGCTAAGACTCCTGCATCCACCAGGAAAAGAAGTAAACCTGCTGCTGACAAGACACCTGCACAGTCTGCACAAAAGAGGAAGAGATCTCCGGAGAAATCTGCAGAGGCTTCTCCTCCCAAAAAGGCCAAGACATCCTCCAAGGATCCTAGTCCATCGCAATCAAGATCTCCTTCTCCCAAACGCTCTGGGAGCAAATCACCATCTACGTCTGCTAAAGAAACAAAGACACCGCTGAAGACGCCAGCTAAGAAAGTCGCCACCAAGACACCAGGTAACAAATCTGCAAAGAAAGTGAATGTGTCCAATGTGAAGACACCTTCAGCCAAACTTTATCCTAAAACTCCTGCCAGGTCGGGTGCAGCCATGACACCAGCTGTCAAACCCAAGTCCACACCATCGCCCAAAAGAAACACTCCAGTTTATACCACTCCACTTCCATTCACACCATCCATTAAGAAGCCTTCTCCAGAAAAGTCTGTCAAATCTTCTCCTTTACCTGCGTCACCTTCAGCAAAGGAGGCTGGAAGATGCATTATATTATAGGCAGGCATTATCCTGATAGATATTTGAATTATTTATTATTTCCTTGTGTGGTGGAGAGTTGAATCAGTGGGGATTTGTGTCATTTCAGAATTTTTTCTGTTTGTTTTATTTATTTTCATGAGAAACTTTAATATTGTACTGGATGTAAATATGCCATGGGGTTTTCTTACCTTTAATCAAATATATGTTGTTAGTTGGTTTTATTCTACCTCTACTTGAAATTTATAGGTAACTGATCGGTGTTGTTTTTATTTAAGTATAGCGCATAATGAGTTTAGAGCAAATGTGACATGGAACCAACTAAAGTGCATGTCCATATATATTGTTAATGCCAATTTGAAAGACCTTCGTAAAATTGAAGTGGTTATTAATCCCTTTGCTTTTAAAGAGAAAATTGTCATTTTGTAAAATACATATAATCTGCTTTAAAGTATAAGTAGCCAAGCAAGATGTAAGTATGAATACAAAAAGGAGCTTCAAAGGCAGCACTTGATGTACAGAAGATATATATGATGTTCCATTTATTTTTAAACATTTTTGTATATAAATGATATGAATAGAACTTGTAGGCAGCAAAATTTTCTCTTAATTTATTTGTCCCCTATGTTGCAAATCTTGCTTTCGTTTAACATGAAGATTTCTTTTTCATTTTGAGATATTTAAATGGATGATATAGAATACAGAACACTAAGTTTTTTGAGTTGGTGACATAGAAGTAAAAGGAAACAAACCAGCGACTGGGTCCGTCTTCTTTAATATACGAGTCGAAGAATTCTGGATTGAATATGTATCCCCCACGTAACCAAATGTGTGAATCTAAAGGAAATTAAAATGGGAGGGACGTTGACTGAAATTCGGTCTCTGAGACCATCCGAAAGTGGATTTAAAAAGGATCGGCAATGTTCAGGGGAAGGGGGTAATTTAATCGCTTGTCACGAGAAGAAAAAGTGAAAAAAAGTTTTAGAATGATACGGAAATGTTGAACCATATTTATTTCAGTCGGTGCTTAAAAACCAAAATAGTCGACTCGGGGTGGGGGTCACGTGGCTATTACGATGGGAGAAATATCGGTTATTAGTGCACTGAAATGTCTCCCAATGCGTCACTTGCACAGCTCGGCTGTTGCGTCACAGCAAGCTTGAAAAGATGGATGCATTCGTTGTAAATTGATGACGATGGCGAGTCCTGGATCACCTGTCACAGCCGATTTTACGATGAGAAAAATATTCTGTTGTTTCAATGCAAAGGAGTTGAAATTAAATCCATGTGTACACGAAGCGGTTTTTGTCGTGGACAAGCATTGTTTCCTAACGTATTTGAACTGCATACGCTGTTTTAACACACAAATGGAAAGTGCTTACGGAGACACGCAATGGCAAGGGGTGGCTAAGGATCTTTTGTCCGGAAAAAAAAAACGATAAAAAATTGGACATCACCGACACGTCTTGATAATAGAGGAGTTCTAGAAAACGCGATCATAATTAGTTTTCACCGAGTACTTTTCGCTTATGAAAACGATGAATGTACTTCAAATTTTACAAATGCCGGTTTAAGTATGGAACGAGCAGGTGCAGAACCGTTGGGCAAATGTTATATCACCACGTATTTCTCCATTCCTAATTTCTAACTCCTCATTAAGTACGATAAAATTATCGAAATTGTACCAATGTTGAAAAAAAACGCATTTTCATCCAGTGACTATTAAAAAGAACCAAAAATAAAAACGACATCATTTTACATAGTTGGTTTGTGCAAAAATCGGAAAATATGTGATTGGTGATAAGTGGATATTGTTAAGAATAAGCACATGCTTGGCTGGGTTTGGAAGTATGATGTGCGATATAGTCAGAGATCTGTGATATAATTTGTCGATAAATTGATAATAACAAAGAGAAATCAATAGAGTTGAAACCATGGAAAGGATTATAAAACAGACACCATATTATAACCTCATGCATAACTATTCAAACAAAATCCATATCATACAGCTTGTTATAGAAAATCCATTTGAAAGTAAACAGAGGCCTAACATACAAGTGTGTTTTAAGGAAGCCTTCTTAAATGTTTAACAATGATATCGAACCACACTATAGAATTCTTGTTGTTTCTGGAAAAGGGTTGAAAAATTCATGCACTTCTTGAATATAATCCCGCGTACATATAAGTATCAGAAGCGTTCTATAGACTGTAAAATACCCTTTCAACTTTAATGAGATATCAATTTACCGAAGGGGCACATTAACCGTTATTTGTTGTTAGATAATAATATTCAATCAGTGAACAAATTTTTGAGAACCCCCGCACGACAGTATGCGGCAGGATACCGATAACACCAGAGTAGGCAGCACATGAAAAATGCCCATTTAATTAAGGCTTAATCTTGATTGGATTGTACAGCTACGATTAATTCATTCTTGCAAAATGTCCATCGCGCCAGGTCCGCTACCTCAACTACGTGAATTTTCGACGGACAGTGACGCAAACAACGAATATTATAAATTTATCCTTGTATTCACGCGCCACGGAGGAGATGTCAAAGTCGGTTACATGACCGTAGATCCCAAGAAAACGACAACGATCTTACCAAAACTGAATTACGTCACTTGGCCAAAGCTACGAAACCTAACAGATTTTACGCCAGTGGTATTAAAAAACCAACTGTATATATTAGGAGGGAAAGAGAAGAAAGCAAACGGTCGGAGAAAGAAAGAGGTAAATGATATAATACGTATATATTGATTTGGTCGAAGAAAATGTTTGGTTTGGGGGACACGGAAAGGGAGGCAACAGTGATAGATTATTATTCCAAATAATAATCATAGAGATTATGTTTTATTTGACATAGCTCAAATCGACAGCTAATACTAGTAATCTTGGCAGTCTGGTAAAGCTTATTACTTTGATTTATCCGTGTCAAACAAATAACATTGGTAATTACTTATTGGAGGAAACGCTTTATCGACAGGTACTTAAGTTTGATCCTACTTCTAATAAGTGGGCAGACAGCGCGCCCTTGAGGAGAAAGCGGTGGAATTTCGCAGCTTGTACATTTGATGGAAAGATATACATTGCAGGTAGGTCGTATCTGAACAGTTTTAGGTGTACAAGAGACTAACTTGTCAGCATATAAGTTTGCCGTTCACTGAAATGGAGTCGGGAACGTATGCTAAGTACAGGTGAAAAACAAAAACAAATAATAGATTTCATATTATAACGACATTTTTTTATTACGTATACTTAAAATCAACCACTTTGTTAAAAAAAAAGAAAGATTAGCCTTTTGGATATCTGTTCAAGTACAACGTTTCTTCCTTGCATTTTTGATTTAATAAGAAGTATATATATGTAACTTTTATGCATGGATGTGTTTTCAATTTTTTTAAAACTATTATAATATTCGAAAAACAAACACGTTCTTTGAAATGACAAAAGATGTAAGACAACAGATTTTTAGAAAAAAGAATCTCACAAACGGGCTCTATCAGATAAATACTGTTAAATATTTCATATTAGATAGATAAATAGATTGAAAAAAAAACATACCTAAATTATTAACCTCGACTGTATCTTAAAAGGTGGCGAGATCCCGCAAGGGACCTGTGCTACTGATGCCAGTGAGACATATGAACCCTTCATTAATGAGTGGTTAGATGAGGATCCAATACCTAAAATACGTCGCAACCATTGTCTCCTGCCGTGGCGCGACAAGGTAGTCTTAGTAGGGGGAAGCACAGGGAAACATTTCAAACCAAGGCAAACCAATAGCATATGGTAAGTGTAGTAATACGAACGTTTACCCCATGCTAAGTAGCATACAAAGTTTGAATTTATAATTATTTATTGTTGCTATTTTCGTATGATCACTGTTGGATCTCATAATTCGTATATGAAAGACGTTCTGGCGTATGTAAAAGTAAAATGTTATTACGTTTATACTATTCCGACAATCATTTGATTGCTATAAAATCAGATTAATCAAATAAATGGTGGTTTCTCACTTTTTTTAAATTCGCAAATAAATTCGTATGTATGTTTTGCTGTAATTTTAACTCCAGGGTTCTCGAAAAGAAATGGCCGTCCGGGTTCCAGGCAGATCCTAAGTATGTGTGGTCTGAGCTGGAGTCACAGGAAACATTACTTCCTCTGGTTCAAGACAACCTCCTCTGCACAATACACAGAGATGTCCTGTACATATTCCGAGGTAAATTAATGGTTTTTATTAGAAATAGCAATTAAATCAAAGTATAATGACAGACGTGTTTTTATTATTATTATTATTGTGTGTGTGTGTGTGTGTGTGTGTGTGTGTGTGTGTGTGTGTGCAAGACAGAGAGAGAAAGAGAGGGGGCGGGGGGGGGGGGTCCGATTGCTCGTTCACATTGTAATTGCACTTTTTCTTTCTCCAGACCCAACTAAGGTCAATTTTCTGCCAAAAGTACCGTCCCAGTCGAACCCGTCTGACGCCTCGCTTCTGGAACAACGATCAAAAAGACCGCGACTTGAAGATACTTCAGAAAGTTTATCACATAAACAGATTTCACCGGACACGTTAACGCCAGGTAAAACATATACCTGTGGAGAATGTTACATCATAGAGGACCTCATAGGCTGGTTTACTGTTTCAGTTATTGCATGTGGAGCCCGCTGCATATAAAGCCAACACTTGCTCTCGTTGTATGAATATCACCCGGGCAAAAATTAAAGTGTTCGGTATCATTTTAAAGCGCACGTAAAAGAGCAGGAGATCAAATCTTCTCTCCCTTTGAAATCACTCATTCCTTCAGTTCCTTCAGCTAATGACTGGAATCTGGAACCGTTTTCACGAGATAAGTCGATTCGAAAGTTGAAAACAAGAGTATCAGTCTACTTTGACTTAGGATAAATCAGTAGTACTAGTCGATCCGTCTAAATGAGAAAATAGTGACCTTTTTGAGGAGTTTTCTTTAGCGTTTTGTTTCAGATGGACAGTTATATAAACATTTTTGAACGAATTTATCCTGGGTATAACAGACAAAAAACTTTGGTTTGAAGTTAAGACCTACTTTTGACACAAGTTTTTTTTTAATGAAATTGACCCCAGGATACACGAAGACTTCTCAAAAACATTAATAGTGCTCTCTGCCATATTTAATAAATAAATAAATAAATAAATAAATTAATTAATAAATTAATTAATTAATTGATTAATTAATTAATTACAAAAACTTTTGCACAGTACAGAAATGTACACAGACGAAGATTTGTGTATATCTGGAAAAAATCTCTCTGTGACCCCGGTAGAAGGTACAGTTAAGGCCCGTCTTAGCTAAAATAATAAATTACCAGCACGTTTTTTATTTGATCGATTGGGCATAGTGGTACGAAAACTATTTGTTTGTATTTTTTAGGTGATCAATGTACTGAGCGTCTAAAATCTGGGAAGTTCTCTCAGACTACACGACGGGCTAAAGACCTTCATCTTAGCTGTGAATGTATTTCCCTGCAGCAACCGAGAACTGGCGCAGGTGTCATAACTCTAGGTAAGTTATGACTGTTAGCATAACGATACTATGATCTAAAGAAATTGTACTGAAAATGTTTAATGGAACTTCATACCAAGAGGCAAACAAGGAAAATCATTATAACACGCATAAATCAATATCTTCATTTTTGTCAAGTCAATATTTAGGTGTATCATACTGTAGATTAAGCTTGTTATTATGTACTGTTTCCTTACTCTGTGTTAACCAGGCCGACTTTATTTATGTAGAAGACTGTAAGAAGTAGTATGCTATTTCTTTAAGATGCATTACTATCTTAAACACAGGTCACCGAATTTACCTAATAGGCGGTCACCGTCCTGACAACCCAGACCATTGCGTTCTGGACGTGGAATACTACCACACCAAGTCAAGGAAATGGTTTAAGGCATTTTCTCTCGGTGACAGGTCACTTACAGACGTTAAATGCTGCGTCCTTAAAGTTCCAGTTTCTAACACAGACTTTAAAGGACAGAGCGGGGCTCTCTATTATCGTTGGCCGTTGTGGTGATACAACACGACTACCGGATTCCTATCTCAACAACTGCAATTGACATGCAGTGGGTTATTTGTTTGGTGATTATTCTGGTTTCTTTGCCGTAAAAAGAGACGTGATGTAATCTCGGCGCGACTAAGAACGGTGCACGAGGGTTAGTCAGTACGCAGCCAAGACAGATTACGTCTGAATTAGGGTCTAGCTCATGAAAGAAGAAAAGACCGCAAGAAAGATCATCCAGGGTCGATGGTCTGAATAGGCACGGAAAGCGGAATTGAAGTGTTCAAGCACAATAAGATTAATTCATTTCTTTATTCTGATGGCTTACGGTCCTTCATTGCTCAGTAGTATTTTAACTAATTTACGTAATTTGGTATGAAAGTAAGCATTTCCCGGGCTTTGTTCCAGAATAAAGGCGACGGACGCCTACTGGATTGATATTTGATGTGAATATTGTTTTCGAAATCAAACACTTTCCTGACCTTGATCAAAATACAAAGCCGTTGATTACTGATTAAGAGTGGAATCGGAGGTAAATGAGGAAAAAACTCAAATCAGAGCGCAAAGAAAGCAAACTTCAAAATAAAGAGAAGCAAGTCATACTACAGGCTGTCTTCTTTCACAAGTATCTGCTTGTTAAAAGTGAATCACCCGCTTCATTTAAAATGCAGGGTGCAAGAAATAATAATGTTGTGTCGAAGATAGGGTTAGGTATTTTCGAGAAACTGCACGTTTATCCAGAACTCACGCTATACAGTTTTTGCAATGTTAGCACTTATGGGTTCCGTTGTGTTCATTAATATTAACAAAAATGCCATTAACAGACACTTATTCTTACTTTATCTCGGGCTAATGCCACTGCTGTTGATGCATAAGTGAAAAACGGCACATTCTGAATAAACGTAAATAACAGTTTTTATTTTCTATGCAGAATGGCTAGAACATAGAACTCTCACGAATTAACAGAATTTTGTATCATTCATAAATTTGTAATTTAGCAATTGTACAGAATATCATGCGANAGAGAGAGAGAGAGAGAGAGAGAGAGAGTCTATTTGTTATGCCTTAAATGAGCCTGGGGCATATGATTAAGTCTCACCATTTTTTTTGAGAGGCGGAGGATGTTGTTACATTTAATTTAATGAAGTCTGCACGTAGTCTTTTTGAGAATTAAATAAGGTATCTTGCATCTAGAACCTTTTAAATGCAGTCTTTTTGTCACGCGTTTTAAAAAAATACATAATGTGAATCAGACATATCGATGTCAAACCTCCAATCAATCAGAAGTCTTATTGTAATATTATTTTTGACAGTTATTGATCTGAGAATCCTTTTTGAAGGCAATTTAACTGTCTGCTGCGTGCTCTTTCTTAATGGCTATAACATCGTCATAAGTATTTTTTTGTGCAACTGTTTTGCTGGTATATCAACTTCTGTCTGTATCTAATATCAAAATTGTCTAGTGATTATTTCTCTTCTAGTTGCCAGGAGAGATTTACTCAGTATTTTCTTCAAGGCAGAAGGGAAATCACTGGGGTGAAATATTCTCCGAGACGGCATTGAATTATATTTTTGACCCTCTTCTTAAGCCAATGCTTTATGTCGGCTGATTCATGAATTCTGAAAACGATTCCTGATCATTTTTATGTCTACTTGTCATGCTTTATCTGGTAATTACCTAAATTTTTCCTTATGCCTTGTTTTATTCTGATATTTAACCTAAAACTGTTGATTCAAGTGTTGAAAAGAATGTTGAAAGCATCACCTGAGTTTACAAACAAAACCTATTTTTGGAAGATGTTGAAATTACCTAATTATATCTCCCTATGCACAGCAAGTAGTCCTATGACTGAAATCCACATCACTCACTGTGCATTATCTTGTACTCAAAAGATGCTTTTGTACAAAAATTTAAATTAGACATATTTCAGTTATATGGGGTAGAACTAACCCTACTTTGATACCCACCATCAAAATATGAGGGGGCACAAGAAAAAAGGGGTTCTGGAATCTGGTAACAATCATGTACAGACTACAGGTATAAAAAGAACCAGCAAAAGCCTATAAGTGATTGATTTATTTATTGCCATAACAATTCAATACACAGAAGTTTCTCTCTCTGTACAAGTAACGGAAAGACATTGCTTTCCAATGACGACAAATATAAAAACAGAATTCTAAAATTGTAATCAAGCAAAAAAATAAAATAAAAGAAATTCATAACTCATCCAATGATTTGCAACATTTCAACCTCATATTTTGCAAAGGAAATATATCTTTAACATAATAGGAAAAGTAACCAATAACACACCCCAAAAATGTTTCAATCTTCATAACGGCACAAATTTACACCTCAATACAGGGTTTAATTAGTAAAAAAAAAAAACTATACATGGCATAATTAATTTGAGACAAAATGGGGGGTTACTGGTGAAATGGTGCAAGGTTGACCTCACAATTATGTGAAAAAAATTTGCCATGCAACTCTAAGACACAGTTCATAGTTGTTATCCATATAACATAGAACAGCACAAAAATCACTGTGTGAACTTCACTCTTTCTTGCTCCATCATCATACCATTATCTTATTCCCACACATTTGTCAAATGTTCCAGTTAACTTAAAATGCACTTTCACTGATGGTTCAAGAGAAAAAATTTGAAAAGCGTTACAATATTAACACAGTAATGTACAGCAACCAGAGAACACTGTGCTTACATATAGTGTGATACACATGAGGAGAATAAACAAGCAAGCACGTCATTTTCACTGATAGATTACAATTTTGGGTGAGCTATCACAAATAAAAATGACCAAATCAGGCTGAAATCCTATTTAGTACAAACACCAACAAAAACAATTCACTTCTGTTAAGGGAAGAAAATCACCATATTTAATAATGAAACTGCTATTGAAAAATTAACTATTTTGACCTCTTCATTAAATAGCTCAAATCATCATGGGGCCAGGCTGAACGTCTATTGGTGTTTGTGAGAAACATGTAAGGAACATGTAGAGAAGAGCTAACCCCCCTCTTAACAAACAATCCAATTATTTACATCCCCATCTTACAGATGTGAACTAATTCCTCAGGAACCAGTGCAGTTCACAGTGCTAACTATTGGGTATGAACTCAGCTCAGGGAGCTCTACTTAACTCTTATGATCTAAAAATTATGTTGTCTTATTGCACCAATACAGCAGCGCAACAGAGGTAACTATATGAATGAGTAGTTAGTCATATTCTAAAATGACCAGTGATGGGTTAAAACTTAGTGCTACACAGTAGAAAGTTAATGCCGCAAAGTAAATTCAAATCTACAGAAAGGTTAACTTCTTGATGAGGTATTATGCTATGGGATTTGATAGGTGGCTTCATAAAATAACTCAAGACTCTACAAAAATTCGAGAGGGAAATTCCCCTCCTGTGGGATTCTGCTACTTTTCTGATAAGCAAACATATTGCATAGTACATACATAATAGCAAATACTTTTAAGTGCTGACCTTTTTTTAAAAAAATTACCTGTAAACTGTGGATATGAAAATGCATATTCATATTAAACCGTCCTGAATAAAATATTCTCGGTGTGTTTGATATTATATTAATCTGAGGTGGAATTCTTTTTCTACAAATAATACTCCAGCGTTCCATCAATTTCAATTTGTGCTCATTTTAAACCATATGAAAATAATGAGATCTTAAATCAATCCATAAATGCTGCATTTAATACAATTATGCTTACATGTACATCATAGTCTTACAACAAATACTTGTCATGAAATTTAAATGCAGTTATTATCTTTAGTTATATACAACTCCTAAACTTAAACAGCCTTATATCTAACCTGCCAAAGAAACTTCTTCAAAAATAAAGACGGCATAGAACCTACATGAGGTAACAACTGACCTCCTGATGACAGAGTTCTTTTTCATCAAGGACCCAATGTCCGATAATTTGTAAGAAAAAGTTTGCCCCAGGAAGTAACCAGCATTTGCATGGTAGATTTTAGGTCAAAAACAGTGCACCAATTATCTGACAGTGGGGAAACATTGGCGGTAATGACCAACCTGCTCTGTGAGCAACTCGGATCTCTGTGTTCAATCTCTGATCCGACTCTGACAACTAATACAGACTGACTGATCTGCACAGCGTACAAACTCAGGGGAATCCAGTCTACACTGTCTACATTACTCTTTATAGAGCAAGGATAACAACAGTATGATTTGCCACATAAAAGCAGAAGTTGTGCTGTTAGAAGACAGGGAAATTACTTCCAATAAGACACCAATGGTCAAAATTAAACACCTGCTATCCACTTTATATGTGTGACGTGTAGGGCATCAAGAGAAGATGAGAATAAATCAGAAGGATATGGTGCATGATTTACTTTGAGATGTTGCCAAATACTGGCACCTGAAATCTTTTATCTAAAATCTACCAGGAGATACTATCAATCACCATCTGAAAAAAAAAAAAGAATTTCTGAAGCCAGCATCTGCTGATGTATTAGTACATCTCTATATAGGTTGTTTCAATATGAAATACTAAAGACTGCCATAATGAATGTGTTAAATACCCCAGTTTTATTAGTTACAGCAAGACCACTACAAAACCAAGTCAAAATCACCAGTAGGTCAGAGATCTAAAAATAATCACCACCATATTCACTCTTTTTCCAGGAAGGAGCCAAATAATTGTCCCTGATTATTGTATCCTTGGTGCAGCAAGGACTGCATTATGCCTGCTGTCATTTATTCCACAGGAAACAGCAGCTTGTATTGCGATAATCAGAAGGTAACAGTGTCGTGGCAGGAAATTAGACTGCATTACATCTCCAAATGATTCCTAATGATGGACAGGACTTAATCAAACTAGCCACATCTACTAGTTAATCTCGCTGCTCTAACTGTGTGGGGAGAGAGAAGGCAGCCGCACCAATGGATAAGCTGAATAGAGATCCAATCATGCTGTCATATGTCAAAGTTATAAATTTGCTGTGAATTAACCCCCCATTTTAGGTGAGAAAACTGGCAAATATCTGTGCAGACGGATAATTTGAGAACTTTGATGGTTCATATCAGGTTAACCACTGAACTTTAATTTCATCAATCTTGTAATGATCGATCCTCAAAAAGAAATAGAAACAAATAATAAATCACAAGAAAATATGGAAATGTTAAATAATTAAAAAAATAAAATAAAAAAACCCACACTAAAATATGCCAAATTATTTGCCAATGATACCAATGTCATGAACAGGCTAAACTTAACTTCCTTAACAATTGCATGTGTCCTACTGTTTATGCCTAGTAAACTGGGAAGTCTCACATATCATACTGTCAGCGTACATCTTTGTAAAGCTGTTTGTTGCAAGCAAGCTGTTTAAGTGGAGGCTGTGGTTCTCTTCTGTAATAGACCCTCATTGTTGTCATGTTTCTTTTATTTTGCTAAACCACGAGTCTGGTGAATGATTTATCACTTACCTAACACGTGGGTTCACACTTGTCACGCCTGTCTTCCAAACGAGGGAAAAATCAAGCACAATAAATATTCTAGAAATTGTAGATAAAAATGTATACTTGGGTACAAATTAGACGCAAGCTCCCAATAGACTGATATCTACAAAACACTAATGATTCTAATGTTTCTATGAGAGTTTGTCCTCTACATAGACTGTCACATCATTACAACAGAAATGGCCTAAAATTTAAACTTTGTTTCATATTTTTTTAATGCATCTGAATGATTATCTTTTCACTGAAGCAAAGTTATGCCTCCTATGACATTTATCAAAAGTTGAAATAACAAATAACATTTTGCAATGTATAAGCAGATAAAAGCAAAATGCTGTCTGTTTTAAAAAGAAACGTCAACAACAATGTGCATGACATGCTACTACATTAAATCTCCATT